TTTTATATTTATAGTTTAGGAGATTTTCGCGGCTTCAGCAGCAGCCAGTAGCCAGCAGCTCAGGAGATTTTCGCGGCTTCAGCAGCAGCCAGTAGCTAGCAGCCAGTAAGTAGGTAGCAGGCCGGTAGCAGCAGCAATAGATCTAATTCTATCTAATTCTAATAAGATTCTTTAGGATTTCAGAAGACACGTTAGGCAGGTTTTTGCTGCGATTTTGTGTCCTTTTCGGCACGAAATTAGGTGGTGTTTTACTGTTTCGGAGGTGCTTCGAAACAGCAGGGCCAGCTATATATAGTTCTCTAGGATTTCAGAAGACACTACTGCTGCTGCTGCTACTACTACTGCTACAGCAGCAGCAGCAGCAGCAGCAGCTAATTTTTTTGCACAGATTGTCTGTTTCTAGGGTTTTAGAAGCAACGTTAGGCAGTAGGGAACGTCCTTCAAGGCCCTGCTGTTTGGGTGTGGCGGAGGCGCCGTTTCTGAGCTTGGAAAGCTAGAAGATGGCTACGTTTCTTGTAGGTTCAGAAAGCACCGTTAGGCAGTAGGGGCCGTTGCCGGCAGGCCCGGTCCGTCCTTCAGGGCCCTGCTGTTTGGGCGTGGCGGAGGCGTCGTTTCTGAGCTTGGAAAGCTCGAAGATGGCTACTTTTCGTGTAGGTTCAGAAAGCAACGTTAGGCCGTTGGGGCCGTTGCCGGCAGGCCCAGTCCGTCCTTCAGGGTGTTGCCATTTGTAGGTTCAGAAAGCAACGTTAGGCAGTAGGGGTCGTTGCCGGCAGGCCCGGTCCGTCCTTCAGGGCCCTGCTGTTTGGGCGTGGCGGAGGCGCCGTTTCTGAGTTTGGCAAGCTCGAAGATGGCTACTTTTCTTGTAGGTTCAGAAAGCAACATTAGGCAGCAGGGGCCGTTGCCGGCAGGCCCGGTCCGTCCTTTCGGGCCCTGCTGTTTGGGCGTGGCGGAGGCACTTAAAAAGACACTTAGCCGAAAACTACATACAAGTCGTACACCTTGTTCAAACCATTAGTGCCAAGAAAAAACATGCTATGCATACTCTGCGCCGTGGCTAGTTGCTGCACCTGCCACTAGCAATAATATTGCACCTTGCCACGGATGGTTTTCAAAGTGCTAAAGGTGCCTGCATACCAACGCATTCTGAACAGACTTGCTAATAGAAACTGATACATCCATCAGGGTTCAGATAAGGGGGGAGGAGTTGTGCAGACGGTTTTGGTAGATACAGAGCGGAATGCACAGGGGGCACAACTACAAAATGCAAGTGCATGTACTTTTTTTTCAGCTACAAAATGAAGAACATAACTCTTTCTGGCTCGGAAAACAATTCAAAACCAGTACTACAAAATCCAATGCATCTGAAGTCAAAAAAATAGCTGAACGTCGGAATTTCTAACATGATTTTTCCCAATGACATTTTGTAGTTGGGTCTTTGAATTCCAAAGTTCCGACCAACATAAATTCGGAGAACATTTTGTAGTTGTCAATGATTGAATTTAGTTGGATCAAGTGTTGACCCCGTGCGGTTTGTTAGATGGCATTCTGTAGCTTCATGATCTGTTTGTCCATGCTAATGAAATTTTATTTTGCATGCTTCAACTGACTCAACATATATAACTACAAATGAAAATGCATGCAACGAAAGGAATCAATTACAAAATGATTCCAAATACAAAATGGGGGGCACAACCCCTCCTGTTTGTACAAAAAAATGCTGGCTGGCAATCTGTACTGTAGCCCAAGTCCTCCCCATTTCGTAGCTGAAATTTGAAGGAGGATATACATCCTCAATATCTAATTAATCGCTCAAGAAAATCAGCAAACCTTCGCTCCCAAATCCTCCAAAAATGACGTGGGAAAATACGATGGCCTAGCATGTCCAACCATCGTATTTTCCCATATGCTTTTCGAACACCAACAACATCATTGCATGCGATACCTGAACCACTAGTGCCACACATGATGGATGCCTGTGTATTTTATTTCAGTTCTGCGCCTTGCCACGGAACAACACAGCACCTTGCCGCAAAAAGGGGGGATAAATGGGAGGGTTTATTTATTTTATAATTCACGAGCTCAAGACCCACACTCTGGTTGAAGTCGTCGAGGAACTGCTCAGGGGGGTGAAAGGGTTTGGTGGGTGGGTTTTCTTACTATATCAAATATTTTATCAAATATATTTCATTCAAACATATCAAGTATATTTCATGAAAATATACATTTGAAAAAGGAGAAAACCTGCAAGTGCGAAGCACCGACAAATATTTCTGCCAATTTGGTTTCATTCATTGCCAATTCTTCCGGGGTCGGCGGCAGGGGCGGCAGCCCTTAAATAATCATGAATTGTTCGTGAGGGCTTGGGGATGGTTTATGGTGAATCCCACTAAGGGGAAGGAATCGTTTAGCAATAGTCCACCCGCCTCATACTGCTTGTTGCTCGCGGAGCTGCCCGAGAGCTTCAAGACACCTGACGAAAAGCCGACGGCATCCACAGCTTGGGAAGAAACACATGGGACATGGGGCACAGTTCAGAATCTCAAGCCGAAACAAGAAAGCTTTTTTGCACACACGGATAGGCCCCTCCGATCTCTTCTCGGTTTTTTCAATTTTCATGTGACTTCGACATGAGAGTCACAGGGCAGACTTAGATGTACCGACAGTGGGGTGGCTAACAAGTTTTTTCCCAGCTGCATCGCGTTTTGAAATAGCCACCAAATATGGAACTTCCAACACCAAATGCCAAGTTTCCAACAGCACTGACATGCGCATTTTTTCTTTAACCTTCAACACACGGCCTCAAGCCTACTAGGCTCGAGCTTTTGCATGTAAATCAAAACAGCTGTCAGAAATACCATTCATGTACCCCGGGTAATCAAACATGTCAATAAGACATCCCCTATTGATGGAGATGTTGAATGATTTTGATAGGAGAATCATACCTGAGGGTAGTGGTCTTCATACGCTTGTTTCTTGATATACTTGTTTGCTTGTAGACACAACTGTGGCCATTGGCTATGCCCAACCTGCATTCTCATGTGAAGAAATACTAAAATCTCTCTTGACAACATCCCCATCAGGCATATTTACAACGCATATTTGGGTGCGTCTGAAACCACGACACCCCCAAATTTGATGGTGAATTAGTAGGTTCCCCATTAAAACTGCCATTTGGGGTGTATACCCATTTTCAGACACACTCATTTGGAGGTTTCCTAAAATGGGGGGTACCCTTGTTCATCATCCATTTTAGATTGGGATTTTCCATGAAATCAACCATCCAGCTATTGGGGTACCCCCATGACTATGGAACCCCGCATTTGAACTTAAACGAGAAACCTGATGCTGACGAGCGGCTTGCTTGTCGAGGGTTCTCTGCTTCCGCCGCCAATCCAGGCCATGTTAATAGGACCTTAGGCGCCAACATGGCAACCGTAGACTTCGGGGACTTGCGACGACTGGGGGGTCAAGTCGAAAGCACTTGGTTACTCAAGGAATTTACATGTACCCTCTGGTTATTTAACATAGCCATAGAACATCACCATTTTTTTTTGGTAAAGCATCTATTTCAATGGGCCATCTATACCATGGCGAACTGTTAGTCATAACCAGAGGGTAATCAAAAATCCAAATGTCCATCCCATGTCGTTCTCATTCCGTCCACTGCTTGGCCTAACACTATGACTGGCGGATGCCCGGTATGGTGACACTGATCATCTAGCTATTATCCACTTAAGCGACCCCGGAAAGACGTTGTTTATACATATATATATATATATATGTATGTGTATATATATATGTATATGTATATATATATATTTATGTATATGTATATATATACACATATATGTACATATATGTATACATATATATATATACATACACATATATATATATATATACATATATATATATACATATATATATACATATATATATACATACACATATATATATATATAATGTATACATATATATATATATGTATATATATATATATATTAATATGTATGTAGAACCTTCCCTGTATTAGGAAGGAACCATTTAGAGTAAACCATGGTTGTTTCGTGAATGTAGTTTCCTGGGCATGTTCCATGAAAACCCATTCTGAAGTTCGTCCAAATGATTTGTGTTCTTTTGCCACTGAAAATGTCACTACCAGTAAAAGGACCATGACTAATAAAATGTGGTGACAAGACCGGCTTATTAAAGCTTATATAGGATTTGTTCGGAGAATTAGGATGCCAAAGACTTAATTACTAACCACGTATCTTTTATTTTACCATCAACTGCAATTCCAAAATCATGCCAAAAATCTTATCACTGAATTGAGTTTGTTTGAAGACAGGCTACCCCGATCCATCCACATTTGTCAATCATCATGGTCCTTCTCTAAAATATGCTGTTTAACGCTTTCAGACGCACTCACGCATAATATTGTTGCATATTGCATATCCTATTAATGTATCATTATCCATTAATATATTCCATTCATCTCTCATTTTCCACTAATATCCCATTATATAATATCCTGTTTATATCCCATTAATATCCCTATTCCATTCATATCCTAATAATATCTAATTATCCGGAAATATGCCACTAATATACCATATATAATTTATATTCCATTAGTGTACATAAATATCATCAGCCATTACTATGTTCCATTCACATCCCTTTCATATCTGGTTAATATCCAATTGATATCCCCTTAATGTTCCTGTTCCATTCATATCCTATTAATATATCATTATCCAATTAATATAATTGCCACTAATACATACGAGCAATACACCATCATATTCCATTCATATGCCATCAATATATCCCTATTCCACACATATTATATTAATATTTCATTATCCAATTAATATTCCACTAGTACATAATACTAATACATTCCAATAATATTGGATAATATTCCAATTATTGGGATTATCCCTATACATATCCAATATTCATTGTGCAAAATACCAATACACCATCAACTTTTCCATTCAGCCATGAATCGAATCCGTTTTGATCCAATCCGCCACAAAAACGGCCTTGGCGCCAGGGCCACCTTGGGCTCCCACCAAAGATCCTTCGCCTTCCTGCAGCCAGCGCTGCATCTTTTCTTGACGATCCTCAAGCAATGGCACCTGAGCGTTGCAAGGTGATGCTCTGATGCTGGGCCGAGTCTGGGAGATATCGAATATAGAGGTTTCACAAAAATTCACAAAAAACCCGCACAAACATCGGAATGTAATATTCTTATGATATTCTATGAATCTTTTGATATAATCTTTATATATTCTATAACATGGGAATGTAATAATTGAACTGTTGATATTCTATCTACTTGGGGATGATTATCTACTGAATAAATCTATGGTGATAACCGGTGATGACTGGTGTATAAGTCTACTGGTATCTATACGTATACGTTACCACATCACTGAGCAAGGCAAAAATCTACGTGTTGTTGTCGTTTCATTGCAAGATATTGCAAGTCTTACCCTCTGGTAAATTAACATAGCTATTGAAAATGGCCATGTATAGTGGATTTTCCCATTAAAACCAGTGATTTTCCATAGCTTTTTGTATGTTTACCAGAGGGTAAAGGAGATGCCCCCCAATCCCCATTTTCATCAGCGTAGAATCTGCTGCGCGAGTACCCAGTAATACCCAGCCTGCACCATCGCAGGTACTGGAGTGACCTGGCGGAACATCTGGGTTTCTGAAGGATCATAATGGATCATATGCAGTGATGATGGTTGGTGGTTTGGGGTGTCAATTGGACTTGATTTGTTCAAGTTAAGATGGAATATCATTACCCATAGGATCCATGTATGCTATATATGGTAACATTTACCATCAATATACCCCAAATGTTAGCATATAGATCCTATGGGTCGAATCATATATCATATATCAATGAAGTGAAACCCCATTCGGATGAGTTCGTTCTGAGGCTTTTCATGGGTGTCATGGGATGGTTTCCTTCGTCGATTTTGAGGACACCAATCTGGAGCTCATTCGATCACCTTCGAAAACAGGTGGCTTTACAGAGCCGCAACATACTGTGGATGGAAGAAATCCTGTAGTTGGTCAAGAATAAGGTGACAGTGAAGCACTGTAAAACTAATGGGTCGTAATGGGATAAACGAACACCCTAACACATCAATCATAATGACACTCCAAGTGATGGATCATTTCTTACGCTAAACGTGAAATCCCAAGAGATTTGGGTGGAGGGGCTTGGGGTATGCTTCAAAGGTATGATCTTGGAATCATGTGAGCCATTAAACCATATTGAACCTCTACCCCTATCCCATCTCATGAAATACTGGTTGCATGATAGGTTTTCCCTACTATAGCTTATCATTATTCCATAATCACCCAAGTATACCCAAGTCGTATCACTCACATTTCATAACCAATCAAACATCAATTCATCAGCTACAATTATCCCCCATATGCTTGATACTTATGATACTTATGCCATGTTGAACCCCCAATGGTAAATTATGAACCCCCTTTTTTAGATGGTTAAAAACTCCTTATCTTTATCCCCTAATAGCCTGTTGAACCCCCCAATATGTTTAACCCCCTAATAAAACCCTATATATGGTGGTATCTTAAACTATCTTAAACTGGGGGATCCCCAAGTCACAATAGCATTTAATAGTAAGTCGTCATTTATGACGACTGGATGATTTGCGGGTGACCCCATGTTTGGAAACCCTATAATTAATGGTTACCCTTTGGTAATTTAACAGTTTGCTATTGAAAATTGCCCATTTATAGTGGATTTACCCATTGAAAATGGTGGATCTTTCCATAGTTTTCTGTTAGTTTACCAGAGGGTAAATATGGTCAGGCTGTCCCAGCTCGCTTCATAGATCCCAAAATTCAGACCTGTTTGGCCTCACCCGTCGCTTCATCCTGGCTTGGCCGGATGATGGTTCTGTAAAATTGTGGATGCATAGATTGGTATACATATATATATAATTATATATCATTATATATGTATATACATATATATGTATGTATATATATATAGATCTAAATATATCATATCCACCGATATCCACGATGATTTCCCATGAAAATACATTCATATATTTAGGAGAGCGCCCAGCCAGCCGCATTTGACTACAGGAAAATATCTATTATTAACATGTCTTTTGGGCCCGAAGATGCGCCCGACGGGAACTGGCACATCTCCACAAAAAAATGCCGCGTGAACGGGATGTGAAGAAACGCGTCGTATTTCTGCTCCAGTTGGGAGTTCAAAATTAATCAAAATTAAACTGAAAGGGCCCTTGCCCTGTGAAAGTCCCTTTGAAATAGACGTAAGAACTCGCGTTTTTGCATGAGTCCAATCTCAGTCTCCCACACTAAGTAGCTCTTTCTGGAGCGTGACCATCAAAATAGCTGGCGATCTTCGTTTTCCCTCTGGTAATTTAACACTTTGCTGAGGAAAGCACACCCACCATAGCTACTTCGGGGATTTCCCAGCCATGTGTGATGGCACCGGATGGCACTATCTGGTTGGTGGTTGACCTACCCCTCTGAAAAATATGAAAGTCAGTTGGGATGATGAAATTCCCATATATTATGGAACATAAAAGAATGTTCCAAACCACCGACCAGTAATCACTATTAATCACTTACCCTCCACAAATTACATTTGATATATCACAAATCATCTCCACCAAAGAGTTCGCCACTTCAGGCGGCCTTGGTAGCTTCCGGTGCAGATGATCTTGAAATCTTGTCCACCTGCACCACGGCTTGAAAAAACAACTCCACATTCGCTAATTAATTACGCTCTGGTACACTACCATAGCTATGGAGAATCCTTATTTTTCATTGGTAAAGCAACGAACAATGGACATTTTCAATAGCAATGTTTAATAACCAAAAGTTACGCAGAATTCCCACAGTTTATCGATACACCACAAACATGTTCACATGAAATCTAAAGAAATTGGGTTGAAGATCATGTTCCTCGTGAAAATTGGCATTGTTTTGTTGTTCCGTGTGAAAAATCCATCGTCCAATTCTATGGTCCCATATGGAGGCTTCCGAAAATTGGTTTCGATACTAGGTCATGGTTGTTTATGACTTGGATGATTTGATATGATTATGGAAACTCCGCTATTTCAGGGAACCTCCATAGATTTCCTATGGATATGTCCCTAAGATTTCCGAAACAAACCCCTCACTTTGGACCCCGAATACCTGGGATTGGGGAGCCGGCTGCGGTGGTACAGATATTGGTGCACACGTACATGTCCGTATACATAGATGTGATGTGCTTCTATTATGTGTGTATATCTATATCTATATCTATATATATATATGATTGTATGCATATAATGAATATACATATGCGTATGACTGACATGTGTGTTTATTTTGGTTATCATCAGTTTTAATCTGTTTGAAGTACTATCGGTTACTAGTGAGTATTGCTAGACATACTATAGTTGCTGCTATGTATTCTCATTATCGTCACTATAAATTTCTATCAGCATAACTAAGCATCAGTGTAGTAATTATTATCGTCACTGTTATCATTATTACTAATAGAACTGGTATCATTATCATCATTATATTCATCGCTATTATTGTCACATTTAGTATCATTATCATTATTACCACTATTATTACATATCGGCGCTAATACATATATGTACTAAATATGTATATGTATAGTTATATATATATACAAACACATACGTCTCATGGCTTGGATTTGCTTAAGGAGCCCCAAAAAACAAACAAACAAAAAAACTATAGATTCCCCAACTAGTGGATTAATTGATTAACCATTGGGAAAAATAAAAAAATGGTGTTTGCAGTGGTCACATGACCTAGCCACCCCGTGAGTTGGGATTCCCTTTTTTTTGAAACTCGATCTCACCGCTCCAAGCCACACGACGGCCTGTTTCCCTTCGATACCAACATGGCGACTTAACAACAGTGATTCTCTTGCCCAAAACTCGGTCATGTAACCAACAAACTGAGTAAAACATAATATATATATAAGTTATATATACTGTATGTATATATACATATATATATATATGTATATTGCCCAGAGCCATAGACAAACATCTTTGGACAATTAATTGTGTTCCCCCAAAAAGTGACAACCAAAAAAGAAACAATTTGGTCAAAATACCCATGTTCTTTGGCCCCTGAGTCAAGTTGATGCGGTAAGCCAAATGTCATAGTCACCATCATCACCATCTCCAAGAATTGGTTTAAGAAATTGATTGTACCACGCGTTTGCGGATGATTTTATCATATTGAAAAACACACCCAGACCCAAAGGATTGGTTTCTGGGATGGTACCACAAAAAAGGAGTGCTCCGGCCGGCACCCTTGACACATGCCAATAGCTTGAATGATAACTTGAGGTCCCTAGAAAGGGGTCCTGACTTCGGAAAGCACCCACTGTCATTCCATGAAATTTCCCATGATATACTGCTTGGCTAAGAACGAGATTATGCAGATTCCCAGTTCATGGAGTATGGCAATCCCACCCAACAAAAAAGGTCATGTCAACCCTGGATTCATAAACCCCCGGCTGTTGAAGTGCGGAGGTACCCATTTAAGTATATTTAAGTACTGTATCAGATTATCACTGAGTGTATCCCCCTAACAAACCATGATTTATGAATCCAGGGACATCGTAACCCCCGAACCAATCTTCAACCAACCTGGGTCGAACGCAGTTTCGCCTCATAGATCTTGTTAAAGCTCCGAGGGCCGACGGTCGGATATCTGGCCGAAACCTGGGGTCGTTTATGACGATGATTTAGGGGTACCATGACTTAGGAAGCCCCCAAATGTGTTTTTTGTTGTTGATCCATCTGCACTGCCCTTTAAAAAAAAATGGGATGTGGTCTTTTCTGTGATTCATGCATGTTTATTGTTTTTATTGTGTTTTTGAAAAATATGACAAAGTTGGGACAATCGAATCTGAGTCTACTCCAAATCGCTGATCGTTTCTTGCAGGTGGAACACACCGTGGAGGTTCCACATGGACCGTGGTGATGTTCGAATGTACATCTATTGACCAAAAAATACTGGTTGGTGGTTTGAACCCCTCTGAAAAATATGACAGTCAATGGGAAGGATTATCTCATCTATTATGGAAAATAAAAAATGTTCCAAACCACCAGCCAGAATATATATATATATATAATTACCTTACCAATTACCATCTATTTATGTTCAATACTTATGAGTCCAACAACACAGAGAATATAGGGTTTGACAAAAAAAAATTAAAAAAAACAAAAAACAAAACCAGAGCAAACAAAAAAAACAAACTAGAAAACCAAAACCAAGGAAAAAACAAGAAAAAAACAAGAAAAAAACAAAAAAAAACAAAAAAAAACAAAAAAACATCAAAACCTGCATTTTCCGCAGTTTTGTTTTTTTTTGATTGTTTTTTGTTTTTTTTTTTGTTTTTTTTCTGTTTCTTCCTGTCGATTTGTTTTTTTGGTGATTCTGTTTTTGTTTCTGTTTTTGTTTTTTTTTGTTTTTTTAATTTTTTGCTAAAATCCACTTTCTCTGTTCTACACGGGGTCATAATTCAATACGTACCCATGATCTACCTACCTTGACATCTTTGGGCTGGTGGATCAACAGCTGGTTTAAGGTTCCCCCACCTGAAAGGCATAGCGCAGATCCGGACATAAGTCACTGAACCTGGGCGGAAGGCCAGTCTGGGCGGGAACGGGTCCAGGTCCATTAGGTCCTGGCAGTTCTTTATGCACGTTTGACGTGGCACAGAAATATCCGAACTTCTCATGGCTGATAAGTTTTTGGTCAGTTGGGTCTGTCTGAACCACATGAATTACCACTTTATAATATGTATTTTCCGTTGACATCACCATTTGGGGGACGGGTACCCTATTTTCAGACAGACAAACAGTTCTCATTTCACCACTGAAATGATTCAACTGCAGATTTTGTTTTGTCAAAAGTGGACTGCATGGTTCTCAGGGAGTGGGCATCAGATTGCTTCTGTCCCACTCTTCCCTTTCGCACGAGCAACAGGAGCAACCAAAAGTGTAATTCCCAAAGCCAAGAATCCCAAGAAGGGTGTCATTTCTCCAGTTCATGAATTCTGTGAAAACGGGTCAAAGTTACTCAGTTACTCCCTTCTGTGCCATGCTGAAACCCGAACAACACCTATTCAGCAATATTTCCTGCCTCAGTGCTTGGATTCCCACTGAAATTAGCTAATTATTCATTTCGTAAAGTCGTTTGGGTGCACAAAAAAAACAAAGTATGACCAACTGCGATTCCCGGACTTCTAAATATGCCAAGCTTGGCGAACCGAGAACCCCCAAAAAATGGGATCGTCAAACCTGTTGCCTCCTCAGTACTTGGTGTTCCAACTTCGGAAGTGATCCACTGATACACCCAGCTATAACCCTTACCCTGCTTGTAGTCTCGTAGCCAGTGTCAGCCAAGGTCTGAGAATTAGACACCCGGAGACTCCGATGCTTCGATTTATCCTTCTGAAATTGGCCATAAGACAAGGTTGCTCTCAACACAACAGGTACAAAGGGGTAAGGTGAATCAAGAGGCAAAATTACTCATTGCCGCTACCAAAAGAATGGCGCCATGTTTCACCTATAAATTTCCATAATTAATCCATTGGAGCAACCCTGATCCAAATGGTTTCTCTATGTTTTTCTCTTGTAAATAAATGCAAATCATCTAGCTATTGCGTCATCCCCAAGCAACCCGCAGCGATTATCCCACCCACTGTCCCACTCCAAATCTGACGGGACCCGACTCTGCCACCACATAGTCATCACGTCCCAAACCTCTGGTGCTTCGGTGTCCAACGGTTCAGGAAACCACCTCCAGTCTCCCGTCTGCTTTTTTTCAATCATTTTTACCCTCTGGTAATTTAACGTAGCTATTGGAAATGGCCATAGAAATAGTTGATTTACCCATTAAAAATGGTGATTTTCCAGTTCGCTATGTTAGTTTACCAGAGGGTATCTAAGAGTAATGCTGGAAATCTTCCCAAAGCAACATTTCAACATGGAACGGGCGCAACTTTTTGTGGTCCCGAGGCTGCCACCCTTCACTCTTTGGTGGTGTTCATATGATTTCATATGTTTTCATGTTTTTTTTCTATGGTGTTCATTGATGTCTGGATGGCTTTCATTGATTCTTGCGATGGTTCTCCTCGATTTCAAAAAATGTCGTCTTTATCGATTCATCCATGGTCTTCATCAATTCTCGATGGTTTTAAATGAATTATCCATCTTTATACGATGTTTTGATGGTTTTCATCCTTTCATCGATTTTTCGATGGCGTTAAGTCTAGGTTTTCTCTAGGGTGGGTCTAAGTGTTTATTTAGGGTTGGTTGAGGGCTTATTCAAGTTTGGTTTTGTGGATTTAGGGTTTATTCAGGGTTGGTTTCTGGTTTATTAATATGTCGGGTGTGTTAAAGGTTTATTTATTTTGCATTCAGGGTTTGTAAGAGTTTATTTAGGGTTTATTTGCTGCTGGTTTAGAAGTTGTTGCGATGCTGTTGTTATGCTGCCGTGGGTTGTTGATGGGTGTTGGTAGGGCAGGGGTTGAACTTAAAAAAGCTGGAGGGGGTGTTGGGGGGAGGGCACTTAAATCTTGCTTGTGGTGATGTTGTTGTGATGCGGCCGTGCATTGTAGAGTGGATTTAACTTTATTGGATTTAATTTAAGTCTAGGTCCAAATTTATTCAAACTGAAATATCTGAAATAGAATTAGTTTGGATTTAGACAAACATGTAATTTAGATTTGATTTCAAAATAAACTTGTAATATCAATGTAGCATTGATTTACATTTAAAAGTAATGCGCATTGAATGTTTGATTAATTCAAGCTTGTTTTAATAGGAATTAGTCTACACTTGATTTAAAACTGACTAAAACTCACCTCAAGATTCATGGAAACTAAATTTTGGTGAAATTCAAAATAGATTTCATTTAGATGATAGACCCATTAAGAACATACAAGGATTTAGTAAAACGTGGAGTTTCAAAGTCGCGGAGAGAGCCATGCGGGTTGCATGCAGACGGGGGCTTGCAAAAACTTGAATATGGGCACATCCAAGGAAAAATGAAATGCGTCAGAATGAACCGAGGCTTCAAAAACAGAGCTGTCTTGTGCCAAAGAAAAACATGCAATAAATTGAGGTTACTCTATCCAAAGTCCTTAAATACGCCTCCCATATTTTATCAAAGAATTCTACTGCGGGTTGATCACATATTATACAAAAAATATCAAAAAAATTATATCCCCCTTTGAATTAGATGGAAAACCCAATTTTTTAAAGAATCGTGAGGTCCTGGACCACCATTTGTTAGATGGAAATTCCAAGGGCTATCATGATGGTCATATCACACAATATGGGTATGGGTCAAAATTAGGTACCCCAATAATTGGATGGTTAATACTAAACTAGACATTCACATCTGTGGTCCCATTAATGGTCTTCCATTTTGACCCACATCCATATAATTGGGATACTTGAGCCGTGGCCAAAAGGTCATATCTGGCGCTGCTCGGCAGGAAGCGCAGCGCCAACGCTGATGCTCTTACGCATCGCGAGGTCCTGAATTTGCCACTCCCTTGCTATTGGATGACATTAATAGCCTCGGGTAAACTGTTACATAACTATGGAAAGATCCACCATGCTATTCATGGGTAAATCCACTATTTCGACTGGGCCGTTTTCAATAGTTTTGGATGCGCAGACCTGCCCATGAGTTTCATCGGGGGCACCTTCCAAGTGGGCACCACTGACAGATTTCAAACGGGCCTGGCCGTGGCAGTGCGCAATGCGGCATGGACACATGGAGACTTCAAGTTGAAGGCAATGGAATACATAGGTTTCAATGGTAATCATACGGAATCATAGGGTTAAATGGGAAAACCCCTGATCCATTGGTCACATGCTTGAATCCATTTGGCGTTTTAAAATGGGACAATCGCAATAATAGGTTTCGAGCATGTTCGACCTATTTCCCGCTGATTTTCCACATGAGCAGGGTCAAAAACCTCCGGTTATTGGGACACTGAAATGGATTAGTGGATAATACCAATCGCACATATATTGGATAGTATAACCCATTATAACCCTCTATATTTACATCTATTTACCTTGTGGTAATCAAGCGTGGCAGTTGAAAATTTCCCATTTATGATGTTCCCAGTAAACCCCCATAGGGAATTTTCCCATTGCCGCGTTTGATGTGAGGGTAATCCTCCGGGATGCTTCCGCGGCCCAGGCGTCTGAAACTTCACTGGTAAGGTGGTTACGCTTTTTAAAGGGGGCCTATCGATAGAGGTGGAAGGATGGGCGCGTAGATGGATACATAGATAGGTAGACAAATAGATAGGTAGATAGGTAATGATAGGTAATGATAGGTATATAGGTAGATAGGTAGATCAGATTGGTTTACAGTGACAAACTGGCAGATAGATGAATCGATCAAATAGACAAGCTAGACAAGATAGATAAGAAGATAAAATACATAAGATGGATAAGATGGAGAACAATCAATCAGATTGGTAAGTTAAATACGATGGTTCAGGTAGATAAGACAAAATAAGATAAAATGGACAAAAAAGTCAGCGATAATAGTAGCAACATATAAAGAGAGATAGATGCAATAGCCGTAAAAATTACTTCGAGCGAGCCCCACCCTGAAATGAAACACTATTCTGACATAGTTTCTGACATACCACGTGGCAGTGGTTATGGCATTTTTTATTCTGACATTCTATCTGACATTCTTTCTGGCATATACTTTGAGATTCTATCTGACATGCTATCTGGCATCTATTCTCACACACTTTCTGGCATATATTCAGACATTCTTTCTGGCATTCTATCTGGCAAATATTCTGACATTCTATCTGGCATCTTTTCAGGCATTCATTCTGGCATTCTTTCTTGCACCTATTCTGACATTCTCTCTGACATTCTTTCTGGCATTCTGTCTGGCATCAATTCTGACATTCTTTCTGGCAAATGGAAAAGAAAAGGTAAACCAGATAAGATAAGATAGACGAGACAGATGACATAAATGAAATCTTAAAAAAATATTTAATATATCTTCTATCTTAAACATAAGATAAGAGATATGGGCAACATAGATAGGATGGATAAGATTGATAACTAAGGGTAAGATAAGATGGAAAATGATAGCAGCTCGGATAGCAGGTGAATAAGGTGGATGGGTGGATGAATAACACATCTATGAATTTTATAAGAACAGATAACACAGATGTCGTCAACGAAACAAAAAACGGAAAACGATAGATTGCATAAAACACAGGAAACAAACTATATAAAATGATGAAATAGCTGAAGTAGATGAGAGTGTTGAGAACATATATACATTTATGTACAACAATGAGAAATAGATAACATGGAAATATAACACAGAATAGAATAGGGGACAACGGAATGCAATAGGATAGAATAGATAGAAAAATAGAACTGAATCAGGCGTTCGTATGATGTCCAAGTTCTACTGATGGGTTGATCACTAAGCCGCATTTCTGGTTGGCAAATCTATGCACATCTGACCACTCTTTGGGAGGCTTTTTTTGCCCCTTGGAAATTGGGGTTCCACTATGTTTGAAGACTTTGCCCGGCAAACACAGATTCTCATGTTGACTGGACCAAAAAGGACGGTCGTTGGTTCCTGGGAATCAAACATAGCAATTCTTCCTCCCCCCAGATGATTTCCCAGCCTGCCCAGTCACCAACTTCGGCACGGACTTCAGTGGAAATGTCTTTGGGAGCTCCTTCATGGGCAAGAACTATGCGCATCTCCACCGATGAATGGTGAGCTATGCGATGAGGTCTCGACATGTGCCAGCCAAAAAGGCTAAAAGGTGTATCTGTATATATGTGTATATGTATATATATAATGTGTGAGTCTATACATATATATATATATACACGTACCAGTATCTATAGATATACTATGCATATAAATATACATGTGATACATATGTCTGTAATTGTATGTAAACATTGTTGTGTATATATATATATGTACATATATATATATATATGTATGTATGCACGTATGTATGTACGTATGTGTGCATGCGTATGTATATGTATGTGATATGTATGTGATATGTATGTGATATGTATGTGTATGTGTATGTGTATGTGTATGTGTATGCGTGTGTATGTATATGTACATGTCAATGTGTATGTATATGTACATGTATGTGTATGTATATTTGTATGTGTATGTGTATGCATATGTATGTATATGTATGTGTATGTGTACGTGTACGTGCATGTGTACGTGTATATATATATACTGTATACATATTTATTTATCTAATTTTATTTATTTATTTATTGGTGTATATCAATATATGATATAAATGTAAATTGATCTTAATTGTAATTATATGTACTGATGGACGCACAAGATTGCATAAGATTGCTGGTCAAGCTCTTTTAATCTGATAGAATCCAATTTTGGGGGCTGAGAATTTTGAAACATTCAGCCAATTCCGAAAAAAAACGTCACACATTTTCGAAGCTGATCGAAGCGACATCGAGAAAACCCCACAGGACCGCAATCTTGCAGAGTGAAATCCAGTTCGGGGGTCTGTTGCTTTCGCTTGTTTTACTGAATTTTCAGAGGCCGGGGACCCCAAAAGCAGTCATTTCTGAATTCGAAAACGATCAGTCACCTCCAAGGTTTCAATCACAAGTCTGCGAACAGGATTGAAAACTGGAATCTGATTTGCTTTACCTGGATTTGTCTGAAAATTGAGGGGAAAACTCCCCAAATCAAAATCCTACGCTTGGCCGCTTGGCCCTCATTTTCCATAAGATTTGATGACCTCTAGTCCTCTGTCCGTGGATCTTCCGGCTAAAGCAGCTAAGTGGAAACTATTAAAATTTAAAAACACATATATACATCATGTGTAGATTTTTAAAAACTTATATAATCATATGTATATATACAAATGTATGTGTATATATATACAGTATATACGTATATGTCTATGCAAATGTTCAAACATGCACATGTATGTGTATGTACATACATAAATACAATTACGTACATATGCATAAATGGATAGTCATATAATATACATCTATATATATATAATGCAAGCATGTACACTTATGCATATATAATCATGTACAATTGTTATTTATGAGTGTGTAGCTATGTATAATTACTGTATGCATAAAATAATAATATATACCCATACCCTCTTGTTATTTAACATAGCCATGGAAAATTGCCCATTTATAGATGATTTTCCCGTTAAAACCTCCATTTATAAGGGATTTTCCATGGCTATGTTAAATAACCAGATGGTATATATATACATATACCCCGTTTTCGTGCTAGTGTGCACCAAAAAAGTCCCTATGATTGATAAGAATTCAACAGCAAAACTGAGCATCACATCCGTTGCGCTTGTTTTTTTTTCAGCCACATGTTTTCAAACATGAAGTATCATTCATCCATACATATCCATATTAATAGCCTCTGGTAAACTAACATAGCTATGGAAAATCACAATCTTTAATAGGTAAATCAACTATAGATGGGCCATGTTCAATAGCTATGTTAAATTACCAGAGGGTAGATTGAAAAAAAAACATGATTCATTTGGATCGAAACCTTTCAAAACCTGGCGACTCTGATGTTATGATACGAGTGCGGTAAACGAAATGCCATTCATAAACTTCATAAACCCATCCCCAAAATCACCATTTTTATGGATGGTTCTTCACCCATCAAAAAACGAGACTTGTTTAGTTTATGGTATTGAGATGTATTGAGTTTACCACATCGGATTATCCCCATCTCCGATTTCTCCCTGATATACCACCTTCGTATATTTTCGTGGTGACTTCATGGTGAATTCACCTTTGATCTTTCTGAAAAATCACCATGAACATCATCCAGTAGACATCCAGATCATGGAGGTACGAAAAAACTGGTCAGCTGCAGGTCCTTGGAAGACTTGCTGTGCTTTGCAGCCCCCTTTCTGCTTCGGTTTCGCCGAGCATCTTGTTGACCAGGGGCAATGATCACAGCACCTGCGCTAGGCCATGGAAAAGTACCGTGGGGTGTTCGAAAATCCTATGGTTCAACGCATCTCAAGACATGGAAGAGGGCACAAGAGTATGGCCTTCATGAAGTTTCATAGTTTTTCGGGAATGCTAGGTTTATCAGAGGACAAAAACCATCAGCAACATGGTCGCGCTTCAAGCTTCGGGTCGAGAATTCAAACGTCTCAAGACATCCTAAGCATTTACTCGTGGAAGTGTCAATGACTATACTGGTGACCTTGCTACAGTAGGTCTCTGACTGAACGATAACCTCGAGTGAATAAACACAGGCGAAAACATGTGCCATAAACACAACCTGTTGTATCCTATGAAACGTTCATGGATTTCCCAATGCCATGTTCAATTCTGCCAATGACATCCCAGATCTTCCCAGCCTAGGAAGGGCAACAAATGGGCGCTGTCAGGCACTACCATGAGTTGGTACTCGACCTCTTGAATGCCGGCCTCGGGTTACACCACACCGCGAGACTTCAGCGTTGATACCGAAAAAAGCGGGAGATGATTTTCCTCCCTGAAAATGGCCAAGAATATCTAAGAATCATCCCATTGAAACATCAAAACCATCATAATTCACCCATTCACCCCTGTGTCTTCCAGGGTTGTTCGAGATCATGTGAGGTGCCTAAAAAATTCATGGTGGATAATGGTGGATTCCAATGAAATTTCCAAGCGGTGACTAAGATCAACGAGATCAACGATCTCCAGCACTCCCGGCCCAATATCTGGTTGGTGGTTGACCTACCCCTCTGAAAAATATGAGTCAGTTGGGATTATGACATTCCCAATATATGGAAAGTTATAAGAGTCATGTTCCAAACCACCAACCAGATATAAGTGGACGGGATATCTTCTCTATGCAACAATGCCAAGGTGCGCCCCTGGCACTGATACAAAGCAACAAAAATAAAAACAAGGTGGGGGAAGACATGGGAGTATCATGGGAGCCTTGAACACCAGCTAACAATCGCCAAATATCATGATTTGTTCATGGAACATCAGAGTACTCGTGTAATTGAGTCTTCAAACCACATCCTCATCAAAGTAAACAACAACAACAACAACAACAACAACCACCACCACCACCACCACCACCACAACGACAACGACAACGACAACGACAACGACAACGACATCGACAACGACAACGACAACGACAACGACAACGACAACGACAACGACAACGACAACAACAACAACAACTACTACTACTACTACTACTACTACATCAACATCAACATCAACACCAACATCAACATCAACATCAACACCAACACCAACATCAACATCAACATCAACATAATCAATCAACATAATTAATCAACAACAACATCAACATAACCAACATAATCAACATAATCAACATAATCAACATAATCAACATAATCAACATAATCAACATAATCAACATAATCAACATAATCAACATAATCAACATAATCAACATAATCAACATAATCAACATAATCAACAACAACCACAGCGACGACGACGACGACGACGACGACGACGACAACAAGACCAACAACAACCACATCAACACAAACAGCAACAACGTCATCATCATCACCGTTACCATACTCCTTCCCTCCTGGTTCTCCTCATCATCATCATCATCATCATCATCATCATCGTCATTATCAGGACAAGAAAATCACCCGTTGTCATTACTATCAGTACAAGATGGTGCCCCATAGTTAGCCTAGTTGGTTTATAACTCCAATAACTATGGTTTATGGTAGATAAATCTATATTTACTATGGTTTATAAACCAACACACATAACTGAGGGGGCACCACCTTGTAGTCATGCTTCATTTTTCCATCTTGTCCCTTGCTGGAACATCCAGCATTTGGTCCAATGATCTTCGCGTTGAGGCCTCCATGGCTAGTTTGGGGATTCCCAGTGGGCCATGACTCATGACACCAAAGTACTTGAAGGATCATGGGGGCTTAACCAAGGTTACTAAGCTCTTACGATCCGTGGGATGATCCTCCAAGTATATCAAACATGGATTGCTGGAAAATCTAATTATCATTGATAGATGATTTTCCCACCAATAAACCTCCATCTATGATTAGTGGATTCTTCTATATTTTCCCATACTTTCCTATGAAATCATAGAAAATTTCCATACTTTTCCCCAAAATCACCATTTTTTTGTATGTAAAACCCCTAGGATTTCCCAGTGGCCCGGCATGTGATTTCCGTCGTTGGCGCCCACACGTGGACCACCGCCAGTGGCCACGCCACTCTGCAGACCTCGAGGGAGGGAGTCTTGCAATTGACTACTGGGGGGTCAGCTTTTCAAGTATCCAGTGTCAGAATATGTATACATATATATATGTGTATATATATATATGTATATATATATATATGTGTGTATATATATATATGTGTATATATATATCGATGCGCTGATATATATATATATATATTTATGTATGTATGTATGTATGTACGTATGTATGTACTACGTATATGTATGTATGTATGTATGTATAATGCTCATGCAGTTCCTCAATGTACAATCTATTTTTGGTAATATTTGTGTAGTATATATATGTGTGTGTGTGTGAATGTATGTATTGTTTAACATAATATGCATACATAAGGGTATTTAATGGATTTTACATCATAAAGGATAACACAACGACATACAAATACTAAAACAGAATTTGCACAACGCTAAAAATTGCTATCATATAATCTAATGCAAAGCAATAAAATATGCATACGCAACATTAATATATTGTATATGTCGACATACAGTATCATGTCCACATAAACAAAACATGCAATACAAACACATAGTATTGGGTATCATGCACATAATAAAATTATATATATATATATACATAGTATACAATGGACAATCCCATGGTGGTTGTTTCGAAAATTAATTTCGTCAGCGTCACTCTATTCATTAAATAATATACATAACATGACATGACAGTGACATGACCTAACATAACAGTGACATAACATTACAGTACAGTACATTAGATACATCTGTATGTCTATGTATATCAGGTTGGTGGTTTTAACCATCTTGAAAAATATTGGTCAGGTGGGATGATTATAAACCCATATATTATTGTAAAATTCATGTTTGAAACCACCAACCAGTATATATATACCCTCTGGTTATTTAACATAGCCATGGAAAATCCCTTATAGTGGAGGTTTCGAGCTGGGAAAATCATCTATTTCTATGGGCCATCTATACCATGGCCATCTTAAATAACCAGAGGGTATGTCATTCCTCCTTCATATGGCTGCCCCGGTTAACATATTTTTTATGGATCATCCATCCAGTTTCGAAACTGATCAAAAACCACCACCTAAGGGAGCAATGGAACGGACCAACATGCGATTTTCAAAGAAACTGTATCGTTTGAAAAATAAGACTCTATCTATACATATATTATATATATAGTTACTATATATAATTATATATAATTATATATAATTATATATAATTATATATAATTATATATACTATATATAGTTACTATAGTTGATCAGTGGTGCTTCGTCGTGACTTGGGTCACCAAAACGAAAACTGCGTTTTTCGGGCCGGTCCGTGTTCTTCTCTGGAGCCCTACGTTGCCCTGCCACACACTGAAGGCCTCATCCTGAACGCCGACAGCGGCTTCACCAAAATCAGCCCCGATGTCGAAAGGCAGTAAATCATAGTAAATCTTCATCTCAAGTTCACTTGGACATCTGCTAACTGTTTTTTTCAAGATAGAGTTCTAAATGGTCAAAAAAAATCTATATCAAGTTCTAAATGGTCAATTTTGCTTCAAGGTAAAGTTCTAATTAACTGGAACTGGACTGGGATCCCATTGGACGGGCCACATCACCAGCTGGATAGGATGGAGGTTTCCTGACATAGGGGTACCCGTAAATCACCCATTTTTTATAAGATTTTCCCTTATAAACTATCCATTTTAGGGTACCCCCAATTTACGAAACCCCCATATAATAAACAGTAATAAACCTTGCAGGTATGCCCATTTGCTGAATCGAAGAATGACTCCCCAGGAGCCTTCACAACAAAGGGAATCATTCTCTGGTGAACGAGAGGTCTGGAAAGGACAAGAAAAATCAAGACACTTTCGGATGAATCTGGTGCAAGAGATGTAGTCAAGAATGGTCATGGATGCATTAAACAGTTTGTAAGCCAGCTCCAATTCCTTTCACTCCCCAATGGGTTCGTAAATTGGAAAATAAAAAATCCAACTGACCAACTGATACTCAAGCGAAATCAGCTCCTAGATGCCGGTTGCGAAGCAAAAAGGCGCCAAAACTGAATTCTACATGTTCTCGAGATCTCACAATCGAACAAGAAATTGTCCCACACCATGAAGCGAGCAGTTCCACTTCTCCACGCACAGGTGGCAGAAGGGAACGGGACAAGGATCGCAGCATGCGGTGCTATGACAAGTTCCTACTATATACTGGGATCCCATTGGACAGTTGTCACAGTTGTCCGAGTTGTCCATTTTCAGCGAAAAAAATCGAGTCATCCACATCAAAAGACAGTTGAACGCCATTTTTTTCATCATCTTTGAGATTCCTCCATGGCTCAATATGGCTCAATGGTCCACCATGACTTTTTCCCATCCTTCCCATCCCCAGCTGGGATCCTCTGATGCCATTGGTTTCTCCAATACAATAGGCAGCTCTTTGGTCATTCGCCACGGAGACCACCTACCCAAGGCCGGCCACCCCCCAATTTCTGTCGAATATTTCTTTGTTCATGTGGGAAACCCATAACAAAGACCACATCTCGATGTTTTTTGCATACTATAGACACCCGCTATTTTAGATAGAAGTTCATAAAATCCGACTAAAATAGATGTTCCGTAACTATCCTGTTCTTTTTGTGTTGATTGAAACGCACACGGAGAAGAGTGGCATCACCAAGGCTAGAGAGCTGCTGCCCCACCCAATGATGGGGTCCTACATAACCAGTCTTCGTTTCAAACTGGAGGTGTTATTTATATGGGGGTACTAGTTCCTAACTTGCTCCTTGTTAAATCTTCTTGACATAGCCTCTTCGCGGGCCGAGGCTCACACTTCAGTCCATCGCCAATGCGAACGCAGACCTGAACCGCTCATTCCATCCACAATGTCCACTGTAGAAAATGGCTTAGGGGAAGTTCGTTAAAATTGCTTGGTTCTGTTGTCTATTCAATGTAGTAATACAATGTAATACATGGTAATGTGGTACCCTCTGGTAATTTGTTACACTTCGCTATTGAAAATGGCCCAGTCGAAATAGTGAGTTTTCCCATTAATAGCATGGTGATTTTCCATAGTTATGTTGGTTTACAGGGGGTAACACAATTCAAGGAATTTCCCAATCATTATTTAGACGGTTTGTTATACCCCAGAAACGGTAAGGTTGGGTACTACTTCGTCTAGGCTGAAGACCATTTTTTGGTCATGCTCTGGTCACGTTTGGCCGTCTCTTTTTGCCAAGCCATGAACAAAATACGAGTTGGTTGAAAACGCTTTCCCGAAAAAGATGGTGAGTTCATAGTCCCCAATCACATCCAATGACCAATCCTCTAGGGTAAATTTTTGATGGCTAATTTGCCCGTCTCTCCGATCAGTTTTTGAAACACCCTCCCTGGTATGGTCCCTAAATTCGTTGAAAATCCCTCGGTTGGTTAAGGATTCCCCTATTGGATTAGTGTAATCCCAAAATATCTTGGGTATAGTATAATCATAATCCATTATTATCATTAACCAACAGGGTTTTGAACACTGCTCACATGGTTTCTGGGGAGTCTTTCATATGCGGGAAAGGGACTAGTTCTACCATGTTCTACCTGACCACACCAGGCAAAAAGAGGGTGTTTCACCATGTGAAACCCTACCATTCTTGGGGTGGTCTTATGTATATCTACAAAATACACATATGGTTACAGGATATACATATGTATATACAGTATGGTCTATGTATATATTTATGACCCCGTGTAGAACAGAGAAAGCTTGTTTTAGCAAAAAATAATAATAATAAAACAAAAAAAAACAGAAACGCAATCAAAAACCGAATCACCAAAAAAACAACTCGACAGGAGAGTCACCAGAAAAATCAAGGAAAAAAACAATAAAAAAACAAAAAAATAAACAAAAAAAACAAAACCTGCATTTTCCTCAGTTTTTTTTTTTTGTTTGTTTCTCTTGTCGGTGTGTTGTTTTTTTTTGTTTTTCCTTGGTTTTGGTTTTCTAGTTTTTTTTTGTTCGCTCTGGTTTTGTTTTTTATTTTTTTGTCAAACCCTATATTCTCTGTGTTGCTGGACTCATAAGTATATAATTATACTAGATGTACACATACTATATGTATATATACTATGTATATATATATACACACTACTACATGCATAAATATGTGTATATAAATATTCTATCATCTACAGCGATTCGGAATCGAAGGCCGCTTCTCCATCCGCACCTGCACCGTCTCGCAATGTTGACTGGTGCCGGCCACAAGATCGCGGCCCTCGGGCAAAGGCATTGAGCATTTGTACCTCAGCCACCGGACACTGGCGCAGGTTAGCCATGCCATGATCCGATAAAACTTGATACCAGGATGGGGTTGCCATCTATCATCTACGAATATATATATATATGTATATGTATATATATATATATTAATTATATGTGCTATATATACATACAACGTTGTAGATTAAGAGATGTCAAGGGGCGTGCAACTTCCTTATTCTTTCGCAGGCACCTCCGGTTTTCTGAAGGGGGAAGTTTGGAAAGTCACCAGACAGGGCTTGCTGAAAATGGCCCATTTTTGTCTATGATATTGATGATGTTCCTGTTGAAACCTCCATTTGCTTCGGGGACATCCAGAATAATTATATTGGATCTCTGCAAATGATCTGGTCATCAAGGTCCTACCATATCCAACATATGATATTTATTTATATTTTACATAATTAAACAGAGGCAACCAATTGTTAGATATTTACCTATGTTGGATATTTCTATTTTGGATATATATTTTTAGATATTTACCTATTATAACTGTTGGATATCCCATTGATATTGCTAATCTAGAGATTGGAAGAGAGGTCTCCTTGGATCTCCTGCTGTTTCCGAGAACACCGAGCTGCCGAGGCGGTCACAACGGTTGTGACATCTGCTATGTGAAAATGACTATATGAGTACCATATGAATACCATATGTATGCATGTTTGCATATAGTTGTATCCTGGATAGATAGGATTGGGATAGGATTAGGATTAGGATAGGACGAGACAGGATGGGATAGGATGAGATAGGATGATAGGATAGATGGGACAGATGGAATAGATACGATAGATGGATAAATAAGATAGTTAGGATGAGATGGATAGGGTGGATAGGGATGGAAGGGTGGATGGGATAGATGGGATAGATACCCGAACTAATTTCTTCCTGAACACCTCCATTGACAGTGGATTTTCCCATTCAAACCTCCATTGAGTTCGGTTTTTACTACACCAATTAAATGGAGGTTTGAATCGGAAAATCATCTAGAAATGATGGATGTTCCATTGCTATGCTTGATTACATCCCAGGTTTCAATCAAGTCCGGGCCCTCTGGGAGACGCACTCTTTGCCCTGTACGGTGCCTGGCGACCCAGCGACCCTGGGACTGGGGTGTAATCCCCGAACTCATCATCAACCAACAAGGGTTTTTTCGCCACTGCTCAAATGGACATTTCCTAAGCGCAATACTCATATCGATACTACTTGGAGGATCATCCAACGAATCGTAAGTGGTTAGTAACCGAGGTCATGACGGTCATACCCAGTTATAAATGGGATAAACCACTTAAATGGGGGACTTAGGATTTAGGATCACATAGGATCACCAGGCTTATGATATCTTACGATCACCACCTAAGTGGATTATCCCATTTATAAATGAGGAAACTAAGTGTTAAAATCACCGCTTTCGAGGACTGTGGGATCATCCTCCAAACATTGCCCAGAGAATCCATATAAGTTAAATCCAGAAAAATCGTGTAATGTATGATCTTCCCGGTTATAAACCTCCATTTGTGTTTGGGATGTGTCTCATATTTTCGAGATTGCCCATCTTGACCTCCAGGTTGTTCCGCCGGCAGTGCGCAATCAGGAAAGACCTGGATTGAGGTCATCATGGGCGACATGGCCCATTTTGGTCGATGAGCTGCCGTTCCTGAAAATGGTGATTTCCGGGAAGCTGTGTGAGTTTCCCAGGTATCTCACCTAGATATTCTCGTTGATAAATCTTAGAGAAAGACAAGACCTCATGAAATACCCATGAAACAACTTCTTCGCCTGAATTCACTTAGCTTTGTCTGAAAATAGGCCCCAGTTTTCAAAAGACAACCTGACCAACATGACCCATTTGGGATGATTTTGGCACATGGCAATGGAAGCCCCATTTTTAATAGGTAAATAGATGTAAATAACCTATATATCATAATCTGAAAAAATCCATGATGGTTTGAATGGGAAAATCATCTGAATCTATACAAGGTGGGTCCATATTTTTTTTCTGAAACCCCTTGGGTTCTCAGTGAAGGCTCTGAATCTCTGGTCGCCTCAGCCTCAGCCCACCAGCCTCCCAACCACTCCACTCCCCTTGACCCACGTCAGCAGGGACGAAATGCCGCGTGCACAGCTGATACCTGCAGCTGTCCCCCGCGTGCGGTGACTCCCCGCCATAATCAAGTGATCATCGTCAACAAGTTGGTTGCAAAGTGGTACTGCTTTGTTGATAGCGATACACATTGATACTGGAGTGTATCAAAGATTATAACCTGCATATAACAATAGCTGTTGATATAAATGTCCCAAAATTCGCTCAGTAACTATTTTGGTCGGAATTTTTTAAAAATACTGTTCGATCCTTTGGGGGGTTGTTATACTGATATCTTGGTGCTTGAAACGATGAATCAACCTCTGTGACCAGGACATTCCGACGTACCAACAATTCGCCAGCAGCTGAAGTGCTGAGTGATTCAGCTGGGTTTCCATTTTTTTGGGTTTCCACAAATGATGGCACCCCAATAGCTGGATGGTTATGATGGTTTATAGTGAAAATTTCATGAAAATAGGATCAAAATAGGGGTACCCCGGGTACCCCCATTTCATGAAACCTCCATATCGTGTGGTGAACTCAATAATAAACATGTTTTGGAGGGGCATGTTGTCTGAACTACCCCCACAAGCGACATGTGGGTAAATGAGCTTTGGTTAATATGACCAGTTAATCCCGCATGATCCTCCCATGTTTGGTCCCATGTGGTCACATAGTCAACAGATGGTACTTTTGTGATTAATTTAAGGTCGTCCAATAATGGGCCCACGAAAACAAAAACAAAATGCGGCCCACGAACCCGAATGCAGTCACGTAAAGCATTTTTGTGAAACAAGTTGTTTGAACAGTCTTGTACATTTTTCCAATGCTACCGTACCAGTGCACTGTAGACTGTGGAATCTGGAATAGGGTGGAGTGCACAGTGCGCAGCGTGAAGAAAGTGGAGTGTTGAGTGGGGAATGTAGCGTGTAGAATGTGAAGTGGGGATTGTGGAGTTTGGAGCGTGAAGTGTAAAGTGTGGGGTGGAAAGTGTGAAGTGTAGAGTGCGGAGTACAAAGTGTAAAGTGGAAAGCGTAGAGAGTGGAGTGGTAAATGTGTAAAGTGTGGAGAATGAAGTGCAAAGTGTAGCGTAAAGTGTAAGGTGCAAACTGTAGCGTGTAAAAGGTGGAGTGTAAAGTGTAGTGGCGCGGAGTGTAAAGTTTAAAGTGCAAAGTGTGGAATGTAAAGTGTGCAAAGTGGAAAGTGGAAAGTGTAGCGTGTGGAGTGTAATGTGTAAAGTGTGGAGTGTAGAGTGTGGAGTGTAAAGTGTGGAGTGAAAAGTGTGGAGTGTGGAGTGTGGAGTGTCAAGTGTAGAGTTTGGAGTGTAAAGTGTGAAGTGAAATACTGCGCCTGCCACGCAAAATGACATTCCACACACAACGGATCTGCACTGAATACTGCCCCTGCGACGCAGGATTACACTCACGATGCCCTGCACCTGCCACGCGATTTGCACGTTGTCACCACTTGACGCAGCCCTGACATTGCGATTCGCAAAAACACGCAACACCACACGTCTAAAGTGCTGCGCCTGCCACTTGAAATTGCGATGGAAGTCTCCAAAGTGTTGCGCCTTCTCATGAACCCCAAAATCACCTACCTCACAATCGATGTTTCGTGCGAGGCTTCCATCAATTTTCATCACATCTCACAAAATGTCACACCTGCCACGCAATTTGCACGTTGTCACCACTTGACGCAGCCCTGACAATTCGATTTGGAAAAAACACGCAACACGACGCGCCTGAAATGCTGCGCCTGCCACGCAAAATGCCAACTCATCTTCTGAAAACGGCGCAAAAGTATTGCGCCTGTCACACAGAATGGCTTTCGACACGTTTTGAAACATGTTGGGATGTGACAAAGTGCTACTCCTGCCACACGAAACGAGGCTACGCAACATTAGAAACCTCCAAAAGCGACCCCTTTTGCAGCACCCCTCAAAGGCAGGGCCATGGGCTCTCACACGGAAACTTGCGAACGGTTGCGGACAGTTGCGAACGGTTGCGACACGTGCGACGAACACACCCCCAACCCCCAGAATGAAACTGCAACCATTGCTACGCATTCGGGAAAATTGGGAAGACAATCTATTTTCAAATGAATGTATTCCCATCCTAGATAATCTAACTATTGATTTTAGCTTCTTGTGTTATTTATACAGACATATATATATATACATATATATATATATATGTATATATATATGTATACATATATATATATATATCAAATCCTCCAACTGTATATTCCATTGACCATATATCAATTCCATATATGCATGGGCATATGGAAATCACCATATTTTTGGGCGCACGCTTTATCGTAGCTTTTCTTGATCTATTTTCATGGGCCATTTTCATCCATTTTTCATAGCTATATGAGTTTACTGGAGGGTATCCCATGAAACCCCAACAAACTCGAACATTGCACATATGTGGTCCCACCTGGTTGCAAAGGGATGACCAAATCCACGTGGCCAGTGATGCACCGTTGACCTCAAAAGATCTCTGATGGCAGCAAGCAAATGAAATTTGTATATATATATATACATATTATTATATTGTCTATATATATATACATATATATATATATATGTATGTATATACAGGTAAATACATTTATTTATATATACAATGTACATTATACATATAATCATATACATGTATGTTATATGTATGTGCCTCTTCCAACTGGTGATTGTCCAACAGTTCTGCAAAGTTTCGTGAGGCCAATCAATATCGCCAGGAAATATGGACCATGGAAATCATATTCACTGGCAGTTACCCAAAGAATGGCCCAGGTGTAGGTGCGCATATCATACTATATAAATATAAATATAAATATATATATATATGTTGTTCTGTGAGACTGTGTGCAAGGTGCGGATCCCTTAAGGAGCAGCATCCTTGTGTTCCAAAAATTTCTTGTCTCACCAAGATGCTATATCTGTGTATATTACAGCAACAATCTTCATACCATGGCAATCCACAACAGCCACGAAAACGCTGAAGCTTTGGAGACTTCCTTTGGGCAGTCTTGGTTGCAAAATTGCCAAGATATAAGGTGAAAATCAGGTACCTAAAAGTGGCTTGATACTAAGCATGGCTAAAAAGGGTTAACGCATACCCTCTGGTAAACCAACATAGCGAACTGGAAAATCACTATCTTTAATGGGTAAATCAACTATTCCTATGGGCCATTTCCAATAGCTACGGTAACTACATTTAAATATACGAACTTTTAAATATACGAACAGGTATTTTAGACTACCTCCGGGAAGGTTTTCCTTGGCCTGCCCGGCCATTTAAACATACGGAAGCCAATCCATTTAAACATACGGTAACTACATTTAAATATACGAACTGGTATTTCATACTACCTCCGTGGCCTCGCGGTCTGGCCCGCCCTCCACATATTTAAATGTCGTTACCGTATGTTAAATTACCACAGGGTACCCAAATCCAGGAAACTCTTTCCATCTTGGGGACACAATTTCTTCCAAGCGACTGGTTGGCTGGAGGTTCATCTGATCCTGACCCAAGATATCCCGTTTGACGAAGTGGACCCAAGCCATGAAGCCACACGAGTAATTCATGTTGATAGTCTATGGTAGTAGAAAATTGGGAGAATCACGAGCTGGTACCAAGTAAATGCCCTGTTTTTTTGGAGACACAAAAAATAACTACCAAGTAGGTCTATTTACCACCAAGAATCTGGATGTAAATCCGGAACATGATCTAAGGCCAACTTGGATCATTCCAGGTAAATTCTGCCGTCATGAGATCCCACTACCAATAGTCTACACTGAGACAGTACAAAAATTGATTTCCGAATGGACCGAGAATACAATGATGGTGTTAATCTCAAGTACATCTTCGAAACTGGACAAAGTTCTAGTCCAAATGAAGACGGTTCTCATCGATTCTCCATTGCCATGTGAGTGGCCAATTATCATGGTCGAGCATCTTTTACATCGGCTGGGGATGACATATTCGGCCAATTCCGTTTATCCATTTACAGCAAAACGAAAAAAACCATCGGTTTACCGCAATATTCATTCTATTCTCGTGATCTTTGGGTACATTTATTAATTGTTGGTAAAATCTCCCCTATGGTCGGTAGAACCACTACATATCATGGCTGCTTTGCTATCTATACACACATTTAAAAAAAAACTGGGAGCCAAGGAATTGATGAAAGGAAAATATGGCAGCGTATGGCCAATCACAAATCTAGTCATCTTTAGATATCTTTATAGTAATGTGGTACACCCAATAATTTATAAACCGGTCCCGAGTCCCGAATTAGGTTTATTGATGTTTATTGGGCATACCCCTAGAAGTGGAATGATGTAAAATAACCCCTGGGTTGGTGAATGGGATGGTGACTATGGCCCTTTACCCCATTACCGTACATTACCAAACAATATCACAATTGTTGAGTTGATGATTCTCATCCCATAGCCCCAAACAAAAAAAACACCGCCTGGCTTGTTCTCCGCGCCTTTTGGCCTGCTTGGTTTCCGTTCCGAGGAATCGAGAACCTTTGCCATGGGCATATCTCTTTGTGCCAAGTGGCACATGGATTTTCGGTGCTGATTGAAATTCGCTGCCGAATTTTCTGGATCATCTTCATGAGATGAAATTAAAGAAAAAACATGAAAACACCAATCAGTTGATTCATGAAATGGGTGCTGTGCTTTGCCCTTTTCATGACATCATACCTGTATTGGTCGTCTGCTGAACCTCGCTATTTGCGATTGGGACCCAACTGATCGCAAGGAACTGGTATAGGATGCACATTATTTCCAAGTGCTCTGATAGGTGATATCTAAGTAGTCCAATTAGACTCTAGTTGGACATAGCCCATACAACCATTGGAATCGATCCTTCCCTCCACTCTTGGTGCCGGTTTCCTATTTCTCCCTGAAATCAAGTGAAAATCCCCCCAACAAAAATCCTCCAATGGTCCAACATCTGACCTGGAAAAGAACTTCTCGCTGGAGCTGCAATTCCTGCGCGCCAGCGCTACTGGCCGCTTCGCCCAGTCGGAGGTCCAGCTGGAAATGAACCTGTCAGCTCGGGCTTCAACCCCCAAAAAGTACATCAAAAATCTAGCCTCTGAGAAATGTGTCAGAACTATGGGTTAATGGTGACTTAATCAACCATATTTCATGGGATTTTCATGAGATTTGATGGATATACCCTCTGAAAATGCCGCAGAACTATGGAAAATCACCGTTTTGAATAGGTAGATCATCGAAAATGGGCCATGGCTTCCATAGCCATTTTTGTTTATTGGCGGGTACCCTCTGGAAATTTGACATGGCCATGGAAAAAAACAGCTGTTCATGCAAAAATGTTCAACAATCATCTATATATGCATGATTTTCCATAGGTGAAATTACTGGAAGGTAATATCGAACCAAAAACGGTCCACTCTTTAACGGTTAAACTTTAACGTGAGTCAGTTAACCACCATTTCAAGGGATGTGTCACTGTCACAGTTTGAATCAATGTCAAAACATGAGGAAATTCAGGTGACAATTGGCTACAAACCATCCACTAGCTATATAAGCATCACTATGTGTATATAATTGTATAATATATATATATATATACGTATATATATATATGGTTTGGGGGCATATTGACCATTTTCCGACACACCCACAAATACAATATTGTTGACTACAATATATATCACAACATACCCCATTCATATCCCATGAATATCTCATTGTACCCCCATTATATCCCTTTAAACCAATTCCAAAGTCTACGAGGGCCCTATTTTCACTAATTCTCAACAAAGGTTGAATAAATCCCCATGAATTAGTTTTGACCCATCCCCATTTGACGAGATTCGATGAAATCTGAAGGTTGCCTAAAATGGTGGTACCCCCGAATCATCCAAGTCATGAGACCACTTAACGATTTTTCACATGGTGACTTGGGGTACCCCCATTCTTCAAGAACCCCCCCATCCGTTTCATCCATTTCAATTGGATTTGTCATTGGATTTTCCAATATAACCCATCCCATTTGAAATGGTTTCCCAAAATCGGGCTACCCCCTAAATCATCATCCATCTTAAAAGGCTTTTCCATTCAATAAACCATCCAGCGAGCCTGGGGTACCCCCATTGGAAATCCCCAGGGATCCCTCTCTGGAACACCCCAGAAATGGTGACCGCTGCTTGGCCTCGACGGCGAGGCGACCGGCTTCAGCCACCAGCAGCGTCCCGACACTCTCGGGGCCTGCGAAGCCTGGGTATTTCTCACCACCAAAACTGGTGCAAAAGAGGCCAGCCCTGAAGTGAATACAGTTTCTGAATGAGATGTGTTGGGATATGTTTTGGGATGTCATTTTCATGTAATGAGAGATAGGAATTAATGAAGATAGTTTCATAATGAGGAGATACTGGAGATATCATGGGATTCATGCTGATATAACCCATTGTATGCGGTAGAACCAATGACTGGGTCATGTTTGGGGTATAGGAATCCGCCATTTTTCTTCACCATGGAGAATCTGGGAGCTCTTTGATGAGAAGATTCTGCGGTTTTTTGGTGGGATTCAATACGATATATAGCCAACAAAGCAAGGAATTTAGGTCCAATAATCTAAATTTAACCTGGAATGAATCGAACCTATACACAAAAAAAAATCTGCGTGTCTCGGAAAATGGGGAGGATTATGATAAATCATGGGATTTGGGTTTCAAAATGTTGATACAACCCCAAGTGTTCATTACAACCAACAAACATGTGGAATTTTGACCAACACACATTGACATAGATTTTGGCCAACAAAAATGGTGCGTTAAACATATGCGAACAAAGAAAACGTGAGCAGTTGAACACAAGTATTAGAATCAACAAGACTGGGAATGTCATCCAACTGAGGCGTTTCAACAGCACGCCAGGACTAAAGATTTTTGATGTCCAGACTGGGAAATCAATCACACTTAGCATGTCAACGGCAAAAAAAACATAATTTGAGGGGATTTACGAAGAACACTTTTCACAAACAAGAGAACGGAATTGAAGCAGCAACGTTGGGGATGCGACTAGCAAAAAAAAACTGAAAAACATCAGGATGGGAATACAACATGATACAATCAATCAAACAGGTGAGGTAAACAACAACAAGAACAAAGCGGCTTAGGAACGCATGGGACATAGCCATCATTTTGGGCTCGTGTGCCATCTTCAACCCCATGTGTTTTTTAAATCCCATGGAAATCCAATCGTTATTGGCTCAAGATTTACTGTATCGGGATCCTTCAAGATGCTTGTGACTTCCTCACTCCTTTCACGGTCATTAACCACCAACAAATCCCATTCTCGGTCCTGTGGAGATTGGTGGAGAAAGCGACGACCTCAACGAAAAGGACACGATTTATCAATGACGCCACACGACTCCGATCAACTCATACCCATCGTATACAATCCATCTATATCTGGCAAGAAGCCAAAAATGACCTCAAAGAGTCAAGGCTTTGACACATGAAACAGAGGATACATATGGATTACCCTCCGATAATCAAACGTGGCGTGCTGGAAAATGCGCCGTTTACATATGAGTTTCCCCGCTAAAAACCTGAATTTAAAACAGATTTCCCAGCCACCCACGTTTGATGATGCCGGTTCGTGCACATCGTCCAAAATCAAGGTCGTTCCAGTTCCAGCAGTGCCTAGTTTACCTTCCCCAACCTGATTGAGGGCGAGATTCCTACGCGGAATCTTCCACAGTCTATCTCTCTCTCTATCTCTCTCTTCGTGTTCTATGCCGGCGTGTTCCTTCAACAGGGTTGCTCCAAACACCCCAGGTACAAGGGGGGTAAATTTGGTAAATATAGAAAAAAATTGCCTCTTTACCACCCCTGTGGGTCTAATTTACCTATAGTTGGAACAAACCTGTTCAATGGCACAAAGACAATCCACTACTAACGTTTACAAGCGTTCCTTAATGATGTTGACATTCACCTGCCACGAGCAGCCACAAACCATCTGTCATTTTGATCATGTTCACCTACCACAACCGCAACCACATGCAACAATTTACCCAGAGATGTAGCAAAAAATAACATAATGGAAACCAACTGGAAAGATATGATTTTTGTTACTGTTTGGTGACATTTTTTTGCGTTGATCAGATTGGTGGTTTCAACCCCTCCTGCAAGATATGAAAGCCAATGGGCATCATAAACTCAAATACGAATGGAAGTTCTAAAACATGACATCACAAACCAGTTGATGGATATATATATATACATATATATATATACATATATATATGCATATATATACATATACATCTATATATACATATATATACATATATATATACATATATATATACATATACATACAAATATACATATATATATACATACATATATGCACATATATATACATATATATATTGGTATACATATATATATATTGGTATACATATATATATATATTGATATATATATATATTGGTATACATATATATATATATATTGGTGTATATATATATTGGTATACATATATATAGGGAGAGAGAGGGTAAATAAACAAATAAATAAATATTTATATATATTGCACTATGTCCCAGTAAAAGAAAGCAGTTTTAGCACCCCTTTCTTGTTGGATAAATCCGCATGTTCAGCCATTTGCAAATCATGTTCCCATTGAATGTGGCCACATCCTTTGGAGAATCCATTGTTAGTTTAGATCCCAAAATATCCCCAGTTTAGATCCCCATCGTATCCGCATTATAGTATGAAACAGCCTCCAGAAACATTTTTTCCCGGATTTACAAGCCCAGTTCTATCCCCATACACCCATGATATTTCCCATTTTTCCAAACTGCTCCTCCAACCACTCCTTTCGGCTTTCGACAAATTGTCTGAGCGTCACACCACCATCTCGAGGTAGAGCCCTGCGACACTTAAAATAAGTCACTGAAATGAGTCCCTAATGGTGAACATGGACATTTCAAAGTTAATAAGTCACTAAATTATGTTGGAATGTGTTTGAAACTTCCATATTCTACTTCAGGCTGATTATAAATGTAGAGCCTGTGGAGTTTAAAGACAATCGTTGACTTTAAGTTCTCAAAATTCGATGAGCAGGTATAGAAAAAACATCAGCTACTGGAATTCAGTCCCCAAAGGCAAGAACTGGGATTCGAAGTCTTCGAACGGAGAGCTGGGACTCGGCCTAGTGGGAGCATGTCAGGTGCCATTGTCAAACAGCATCCGAGCTTCCAAACCGGCATGTGTGCGTGTGAAACGTCTGAACAGACGTAAAACTTCGCTGGCTGCTTATTTTATTCATATTTATTTGTGGCAGGGGATCACCGGGGTCCCGGGGGGGTCGGTGATCGACGAAGACACCTCCCCGGGACCCGTGTAAACGTACCTGGGGGACTTTAGTGGTGCACCTGGGCGCATTTAAGTCGCAGCTGGTGGCCACCATAGTCCCATCTATCTATCTATCTATCTATCTCTCTCTCTCTCTCTATCTCTCTCTATCTCTCTCTATCTATCTCTATCTATCTCTATCTATCTCTATCTATCTCTATCTGGATGCGGGTCAAAATGGAAGACCTAGGGGACCACAGATGTTAGTCTAGTTTAGTATTAACCATCCAATTATTGGGGTACCTAATTTTGACCCATACCCATCTATCTCTATCTATCTATCTATCTATCTATCTATCTATGTCATTTATATATATATATATGTCTTTTCTAGTTGCATGTTGAAGTGTGTGTGTGTGTGCCGTGAAAAGTCAGATCTGGAATTTCTTACAAAGATTCTTCATGAAATATCATTCCAACATTCCATCCATCCATTCACAATCCCAAAGACTCATCAGCTACCATTATCATTACTATTTTTGCATTTACCCATGAACCAATCCTGAACCAATCATCAACTATAGTACCCCCTCAAAAAAACGATTAGAAAGCAAATTGCGACAAATTTAGTAGTTCCCCACCTGGCTGATATTCTCTGGGTTTTAGCAGAAAAGTGCAACTCATTCTGCTTATCCTTCTCCTTCTTCTCCTTCTTCTCCTTCTTCTCCTTCTTCTCCTTCTTCTCCTTCTTCTCCTCCTCGTTCACCTCCGCCTCCGCCTCTTTGTTGTCTTGATCTCCTCTGCCAGCTCTGGATGCAGCCTGGACCCGAAGCTCCCAATGCTGTAATAACCACGCCTGGACCCAAACTCCATATCGCCAGCTCTGGATGCTGTGGGCCACGCCTGGACCCAAACTCCATATCGCCAGCTCTGGATGCTGTGGGCCACGCCTGGACCCAAACTCCATATTGCCAGCTGCGGATGCTGTGGGCCACCTGGACCCGAACTCCATATCGCAGCTCCAGATGCTGTGGACCTGAACTCCACACCGCCAGCTGCGGATTCTGTGGGCCACGGCCGGACCCGAACACATGCCAAAGAGAATGCCAGACACAAGTGCTAGAAAGAATGTCAGAAAGAATGTCAGAATGCGAGCAAGACTGCCAAATAGAATATCAGAACATATGGCAGATGCCATATAGAATGCCAGAATGTCTGTCAGAAAGAATGTCAGAATAGATGCCAGATGGAATGCCAGATATCATGTCAGATCAGATGCCAGATAGAATACCAGAAAGTATGTCAGAATATATGCCACATGGAATGCCCGAAAGAATTTCAGAATTGATGTCAAATAGAATGCCAGATAGAATGTCAGAATAGATGTCAAATAGAATAGTTGCCAGAGAGAGAGAGAGAGAGAGTGTGTCAGAATCCATGCTGATTGTCAGAATATGTGTCAGATTGAGTGTTCAGAATACTTGTAGGGTTTCTATCTCCCAAATTCCAGTAGCAAATGCGCAAACAAGGATGTCTGGTTGCGCACTTGGAATCTGAACAGTTGTCTAAAGTCTAAAATGCCATGGTGGGGATCACTCGAAGTAAAGTAAATCATTTTTTCACATGTGCTAGGGTCAAAACATGGTATATGATTCGGGGTCATCCATCCCATAATGGGAACCCATATATATATGTATATATATATATACATACATATGTATATGTACAATCATATATATATATATACATATGTACAATTATATGTATATATATATGTATATATTTGTATATTTATATATATAATATCTATATGTACAATTTTTGTATATATATATATATATTGTGTGTGTAAATCCCTTATGGATTCTCATGATTCCCATCAATGGCTTTCCAATCCAATTGACCATGCTTGACCCGCCTCAGGTGTGATCCGTGCTCGCAACCTGAATCGAACTCGCTGCAGCAGGGCCTCGGAACAACCACCAGATCAAAACTGCTTGGTGGTTTTAACCTATGAAAATCTATGAAAATTCATTACAGTAATCTATGAAACATCAATATATATATATATATGGCAAAATTATTGGGAAATGATGATATATATTTGTATATACTGGTTGGTGGTGCAATAACCATCTTGAAAAATATGAGTTCGTCAATGGGAAGGATGACATCCCATATTATATATATATGGTTGGTAGTTTCAACCCCTCTGAAAAATGATGGAGTTCGTCAGTTGGGATGATGAAATTCCCAATATATGGAAAAATAAAAAAAATGTTCCAAACCACCAACCAGAAAATAATGGAACGGCACTCCCATGGCCCAAATAACTTAAATAATCTTAAATACCTTCCCGCAACCATGGAATGTGTCATTGTAAATAGATCTGGAATAATCATCTGAAATGGGCCGCAGGTCATGGTTCATCAATTTTTGAAATTCAAAATCGAGGGTCTTTTGAGCCAAGGCCAACTTCGTCAAGTCTGGAAATTGTTGTCAGTACCTGTCGGTACATTTGCGTAGTGCTTCAACCAAACGGGGTGTCCGGGTAGAAATTGATTTCGCTACTTCATGCCACTTCATCTCATTTCATGCCATTTCATGCCTTGAAGTGGAATGATATGGCAAATTCAAACCACGCAGCCCCGGCGACCCCAATCGTTTCAGCACAAGCTAGCCGTAGCCTATGCAGATACACTCTTATCGGAGGGACTACACAACCCCCCATGATCGAGGCTTGACACGAATCCCATTTGTTTGTGAGATGTTCTCTTTTTAGTAGCCGATCCAATGGCACGAAAGGACTTATATATATATTATAGTATCCAAGATTATCCAAGGGTGCCTATGCGCCTAGGCCGTGGCAAAACATAGACCTGAGACTTTTTGAATCCAGAACCTGGCCTGCTTTTGGATGACCCGCAAGTTTGCAGTACACTGCCCTACTTCCAGGATCATCCAATTTAGCAACTGGTGAGTTGCTATACATAAAATATCTCGATGTATAATGTATATATATATATGATATATGATATATGATTTATATTTATAGCCCAGGCAATCCCATGTTTTTTTTTCGGGATTAGCCACGACTCACCTTGATTCCTCCCGGATCTCTTGGTGATCCCTGGATCTCGGTGCCGGACCAGCTTCAGCACATCGTTGCGCAGGTTGGTGATCTCGGGAAGCTGAACACCTCGGCCGCGTCATGGGATCCGGCAGATCCATTGGGTTTCGAAGATCTCAACCGGGATATCCATGGTTTTTAGCCTCAAAGAACCGGGATATCCATGGGTTTTTAGCCGAAAAAAGGGTTTCCTGTTAGAAAAAAAACATCATCCAATTCATGAATGATGGAGTGAAGGGGAGATAGGCAATGGGGATATAGTTTTAAAGTTTAAGATGAGGGATATGATATGATATAGTCATGGGGAATGATTTTATCATATTCTTTGCAAGTTTGGCACAGTCGCGGGGGATGATTGGCCAGCTTGGCAAGTTTCAAATTTGTCATTTGCCCAAGGGGATATGATGTTCAGATATAATCAATGGGATATTATAATATAATCGCTGTGTCTGAAAATGTGGCAAATAGTCGTTTACACAGGAACATATTTTTGTTTTTATGTTTTCATTATATATTATTTATTATTATTACTATCATTATTACTATGTATTATCATTATTATTATTGTTCTTATCATCATTATATATATATAGCTACCCGCATCGGATAGAATGGGGTACCATGCATTTTACTGCAAACCCATATATCGGGATTTGGGTCAAAATGGTGGTACAGCGAAAAGTTCTCAAATGAAACATGACCACTAACGCTCCCAATTTGAGAAAACCCCACAGTATGGTTAAATACCCTCTGGTAAACGTTTACATAGCTATTAAAAATGGCCATTTATAGTGAGTTTTCCCATGAAAAATGGTGATTTTCCATAGTTATGTTAGTTTACCAGAGGGTAATGTTAAAATATGTTAAATGTGGTTTGAAACAACACAATGGATTGGAATGGGGTATCCATTTAGTTTTTTAATCGAACAAACCCGCAATGGAGAATAGGGCCGTGTCCATTGCGTGGGGTCGAGTTTGTGAAAAATGTGAAAAAAACACCAACACCAAGCTGGCTGTCCTGTACCAAAAAGCACAAAAAAACAATCCATTTTCCCCAAACGTCATGCAAAAATGTGAAGGCCAATGAAATTTCCGCTATCCAGCAGAACGTGGGACATTCGTGAACAACCCTAACTGTACCTCTTTTTCTGTCTGGCTGGCGTGGACAAGGCTCCAAAGTACTGGAATTGTCTGGCAAGATAATGAGTGGCAGTGGTTGGTAGATGTTAGTAAGATTGGCACCTATGGATACCTATGGGCCATAGGGATCCAATCATGGGCCAATCTTAACCACCCAAAAGAACATCCCGAGACACTGACACGACTGACACCTTGGGATACACACCAGTCACCATCTACTTGGTTTCAGGGATCATCAAAATTCGAAGCTTTTCTACTGACTTCACCAGAAGCTAGTTGATCATAGTTGATTGTGACACCAAGTTACACCCGTCCCCTGCAAAAAAAGTGATAGAACCGAAGCAAATCGGCAAACATCAGACCAGCACGGCCAGTAAAACCACATCAATTTCAACATCGTCAATTCGTGTCAACTTAAGTAAAAATTACTCTACTTCGTGTGATCCCCACCATGACATTTATACATTTTGTTACTGGCAAATCTTCTGGCATTCTATCTGACATATCTTCTGGCATTCTATCTGGCATATCTTCTGGCATTCTATCTGGCATATCTTCTGGCATATGTTCAAACTGATTGCTTCAAACTTTGCCACCTGCAAAGTAAGAAGTGGCATTGCCCCGGTCACTCTACCACACACGCGCGAGTTTGCAAGTAATATATAACATACTTGTCTGACATTCTTTCTAACTTTCTTCTGCACATTCTTTGTCCCATATCTTCCTACATGAGGTCCGGCAGGGAACACTTGGCGTGGATACTCGCGGTTGAGGTCCGGCAGGGAACACTGGGCGTGGATGGTCGTGGTTGAGGTCCGGCAGGGAACACTGGGCGGGGATGGTCGTGGTTGAGGTCCGGCAGGGAACACTGGGCGTGGATGGTCGTGGTTGAGGTCCGACAGAGAACACTGTGCGTCGAGGGTCGCGGTTGAGCAGGAGGAGGAGGAGGAGAGGAGAGGAGAGGAGAGGAGGAGAGGAGCAGGCAACTGACATAAAATCCAACAACCCTCACCTGGCAGGTGGGGAAAAAAACTCTTGTAATCATAACCCATAGGATCCATGTATGGTATATATGCTAACATTGGGGGTATATTGATGGTAAATGTTACCATATATAGCATACATGGATCCTATGGGTAATTGATGAGTTTTAACATGGCAACGAAAAACATGCGTCATTTTCTTCGATGATTTTTTATCGATGAGTTTTCCCCATGGTTTTCCCAACTTCCCCCGTTGACGTAACGGCGACATCCGCTCTTGGGTGCCCCTGCGCCAGCGCGGCTGTGGGTTTCCACCCGCATTTCCGGAGCGGCCCAGATCAATGAGCTTCACCTCACAGTGGCGTCGTGTGGAAACCAAGGGGCAAATCTCGATGCGAAAATGTGGGAAAATGTGGGAAGATCCTGGTGGATGATCCAGATGATTGTGAATGCTAGTCTTTTTTGGGGGGAAGTGTATAATTGCATACATGGAGCATGAAGGATATATAAGGAGATAATACATCAACATCCCATGAATGTGAGTCTGTTTGCGGCAACGGGTATGTCTGACTACCCAAGGCAAAGGGTTGCCCAATAGATTCGCTGGAGCCTGCTTTGGAACATTTGGAACCTGATTTGTTCAAACGGCCTCGAATCTATGCTGTGTGATCTGTGTGTTTGCCAATCCTACCTGAAAAGCAGACTTCAACATTTTTTTTTAGAAGCCTGGCCAACATACAAACAATCATGGTCAACAAGCACCAGAGCAAGGAGTCCAAATTTTCAGACCGAAAAAGAGAGGTGTGCAGTTCACCTGAAAAACCGCTCCAGGGTGGTACCTGGTAGCTGCTCCCAAGTTAAACAGGATCCAATCCAGCGAACCAGGGATTACCAGGTTTGACATATGGTTTCTAAAACTTACCTTCTGCACGGTCCAGAAATGTTAAGAAATGTTAAGAATTTGCTATGGCTGATGTTCACATGACCCATTTACTTCGATGATTTAAGTCTGGTGAAACCACGAAAAATCACCACGAGCCCGGGCCTCCACGGGAGCACGCCAGAGGCTGTTGATGGATCGAAGCTCCGCGGTGTCTGCCTCGTCACCTCGGGAGCCCGACCAGGTGACCTTTTTTTTTTGTGAAGGGATTCAGAAATTGGTCATGAGTGTCAAGGCAAATGTCGGATATGTCGCAAGATTTTTAAAAATGTCGTATATTTTTTGGGTCAGAATACATGTGAGAATAGAAATGTCAGAATGCATGGCAGGGTGTATGCCAGAATTCTTGTCATATATGCGTGGACAAATGTCAGAATATATATCAGGCTATATTTCAGAATATCTGCCAGAATATAGGTCAGAAATTATTTCACTATATGAAGAAAAATAGATCGATGGGTGGCATCTTTGTCAGCTTTTGTGGGACCGTGGGATGGCACTTTATGTCAAGGAATTGGGTTAGGAAATGGATGGATTGGTCTGTCATCAAACATGGCTAGCTGGAAAATCAACCCTTTTTTAGATGATTCTCCCAGCGAAAGACATCCATAGGCGATTGTCCTAGCCACGTTTGATGACACCTGAGGCTTTTTGTCCCCCCGAAATGAGTTGCAGTCGGAATCGATTGGAAATGGCCAATGGCAACCAAAAAGGGGGGCAACATGTTTGTTAGAGCCGGTTGGGAACATAGATCCATACCCATGCGACAAATGGACAGAGCTAGCTCAAAACCAGCTGCTTCCATGCCAAGAGAATTGGGAGCATCACCTATTTTCTGCTCTGCATCTACCACCATTTTATGGAAACGGACATGATATGAGGCCAAACATGCCAAGGAATGTGTAGACCAATGGGGGATGCTGCTGATGGGACATGAGGCCCCGAAAAAAAAAAATGAAAAAACAGCCCCCATGGTTACTATGGTTGTTTAACTATAGATAACTATATAATTATATATAGATGGTTTAACTATATCTACCAGAAAGAACCATAAACCATAGATACCACGGTCCAATCGTCCCTTGGACGGCCCCAGAGAAACTCAGTTCCTGGGAATCCAAAACTCCTCACATAGTGATCATCTACAATCTATGTTGCTGTTGATAATCTAGATGAACAGATAATCTATAATAATACCTGGTAATATATACTATAATCTATGTTTCTGTTAGATATTCATAATATATACTGATAATCTACAATCTATAATTTCACATTGATATTGATTAATCTATGATATTCATATTGTAAGTATATTAATGGGGCTTTCCCAAAATAGGGCTACCCCCAAATAAGTCATCCATATTTTTCTTTGGGATTTTAGATGATGAACCATCCAGCGAGCTTGGGGATACTCCATTTATGGAAACCCTCATACAAGTATCATTAAGATTTATTACAGTAATCTATGAAACATCAATATATATATATGGCAAAATCATTGGGAAAATGATGATATATATATATATATACTGGTTGGTGGTGCAATAACCATATTGAAAAATGATGGAGTTCGTCAATGGGAAGGATGACATCCCATATATCGAAAATAAAATTCATGTTTGAAACCACCAGCCAGATTTATTACAGTAATCTATGAAACATCAATGCGGCTTGGTCCAACTTATCCAACTTGGTCCGAAAGCGGGATTCTTTAATACCTGATTGCAGGTAAGCCACCCAAGACATGCGCATATTCCAGGTCATACTGCATGCCTTCCTGCACTCGAATGGGTCACAAATGGATCACCCAAGTCACCCCAGTCACCAAAAAGCACAAAAAGTGCCCAGCGAAACACCTCCTCGCAGGGATACTCAATCACTGTGTAACCTGCACGCAGCGCGAAACGAAAAACCACCGTAGCATCACATCTCAACTCAAAGCTCCTGTTGTTTAATGATGTTACATGATGTTACTCGGTATTGAACTCCACACATCATTCATGAATGGTGTTGCTGTAATGATGTGCCAGTCATTACCATCTGGTTATTTAACATAGCCATGGAAAATCACCCTTTTAAGTTAGGTAAACCATCCATTTCTATGGGCCATCTATACCATGGCGAACTGTTAAATAACCAGATGGTACAACAAAAATAAATGGCCCATTTATAGGTGGTTTATGAGGATTTACCTATTAAAAATGGTGATTTTCCATGGCTATGTTTGTCATTAATGATGTTTTTTTCCCACACCTCATGCTCTCCTAAAACCTGAGCCACGAGGCTGGCTGGGCCACGAAATTTACCCCGTGGGTCCCGTACATCCTGAGCTGCCGACAACTCATCGAATCAGCCACCGCCTGAAGCGCTGAGTCTCCGAATGGATCTTAATATATCTTAATGATTCAATGGGATGTTCTGACCCCAAAATTCAACCCCAAAATCTGGTACATTGATGTAATTGGAGCTTTTGACATCCATATTTCTGGTCCGGAATGGAGAAAAGCGTGCTGGAATCTGGACCATGGTCAATCAAATGCAGTACAAAGTGGTCCCTTCCACTTTTAAGTTGGTTTGTAAACCCATTCAATTGTAGATAGTTCCATCATAATTCCTAGTCCTAGTTGCTGGATGTTATTGGATGTGATTAGAATCACAAACGCAACAGGAACCTATCTTGGGTACAGTTTTACAGTTGGCTACTGCGGCTACTGGGTGACAACAGGAAATCCATCTCACGCTTTTCCTTCCGGGTCTAGACAGTAGCGATCAGCATTCTCTAGTTCTGTCCTTTCATGACGCACATTTTGACCATATCAACATAGATTAACTGTGGATCAACATATTTCGTATGTGGATTCAAAACATCCACATATATATATATATATATGGACATACATATATGTAAACATAAATATATATATATATGTATATGTATATATATTCTTGCATTGTTGTATTATATTGTGATATATATATATATCATACATGTATATCATACATGTACATATCTTAACATCTGTGCCTCCAGAATTCGTTCATCCGGCTCGCCGTCTTGCCGCGCCTCGGACTGCTCCAGGACGGGCATCGGAGTGGGTGGATCCTGGGCGATCTGGCACCATCCCAAAATCCACGAAATGGGTATTGATCTAGATACCCATAGGATCCATGTATGGTATATATGGTAACATTTACCATCAATATACCCCCAATGTTAGCATATATAGCTATTGAAGAATCACCATTTATAGATGATTTACCCTCTGGTAAACGTTTACATAGCTATTGAAAATGGCCATTTATAGTGGATTTTCCCATTAATAGCATGGTGATTTTCCATAGCTACATTAAATTACCAGAGGGTAGATATTGATCTAGAAATTGGAACGGAATTTCTAGAAACTGATCGAGATCTAGATATTCTAGTGGATTTGAGAAATATGATTTTTGTTGGGACGGAATTGGATCTAGAAATGGGACTTAAGATAGAAATGTGCATTTTTGTTGGATCAATTTTTGATATCATGAAATACTTTGAAATGGTTTCCCATGGCTATTGGAAATACCTATGGGACGCACATTTTTCATGAAGAAATCACCATCCGTGAAGGAAATCGCGTGTTCCCAGCGGAATCTCTTCCGCAGGAGGTCGCGCCTGGTAGGCCACAGCAGGTTCGACAATGATCGGCTCGGATTGCTGCTGCCCTGCCCTGCCCAAAAGCTGTCGCAGCTGTACAGCTATCTGTGTATTGTCAGTATGGCAATATGTCGTATGCGTATAGTATATATATATATATACAATTATATGTATATGCATATTGTCAACAAATGATACATATAATATATATATATATGTCATACTGTGTAATATTGTGTAGTGTGTATATATATATATATGTATGTGGAATACTGTGTAATATTTCGTAGTATTGTGTGATATTGTGTAATATTGTGTAATATTATATATGTATGTATATTATAGTGTGTCATATTGTGTATATTAATATATTATAATCATTACAATTTATTATAATATATATACATATATATGAAATAGAATTTGTATAGATCATGATATATCAAAATTATCACAATAATCCTGTCTCTACATATATATATATATGTATTGTGTGTGTGTTTTACCGAAGTGGATGAGTAGCTTGGGGGCAGATCTCAAAAATGGAAAAGTAGCTGGGACTATCCCGAAAAGCCATGGAAAATCGACATGTTTAATATGTACCCTCTGGTAATTCATGGTTAATAGTGGCTAATAATGGTTAATAGTGGTTAATAATGGATTTTCATGGTTGCCCTCTGGTAAACTACCAGCTATTGAAAATGGCCCATTTATGGTTGATTTACCTATTAGACATGTTGATTTTCCGTGATTTTCCATTAGTAATGTTAGTTTACCAGAGGGTAAATCATCTATAAATGGTGATTCTTCAATAGCTATATGTTAGCAAAATGGAGAATCATGATAGTCATTGCTGCATGTTTTTTTTCTGGGAGTCGCATCCCCACTTAGAAAAACCCATGAAACTTGTCCCTGACAGTTCATCCTGAGCCCTCGAAATGAAGGTCAGTAACAGGGAAAGTCTCGTGTGACTCGGTGTTTAAAATGTTGGGGCAAGTTCTCATCTGGAATTCTTCGCCAACTTGAAAAGACGGAAAAAAAAAAACGTAGGGTCCTCGCTTTTTCTCCAGTAATTTCAGATGGGAATGCAAAACCTCAATTTTCAACAGTTGATCTACAAGCTACAAAGTTTGGATTGCCGTTGCCACATTTGCCAGAGCCGAAATCCCTCAGAGAGCTTGGTTGTGTCCAACTAAAAACATCCTCAAGAGATATCATGTAAAGATAGAATTAGTAAACCCAGGTTGATTATATTATTAGGGGTCCTGGGGTCCCCCAAAAATAGTGATAGTTTGATATAAGTTGCTACTATAAATGGCAGTGTATCATCAGTATCCCCCTAATTAAACAGCCCAAGGGTTTATTGCAGGGGTTGGTCAATGTCCAATTTTGGATATGTTTTTTATATCACCTGAAAAGGCGTGTGTTGAATTGCGTTGAAGATTATATCCCTAGTAATGTGGCTCACTCAATCATAAACCATCCCATCAACAAACCATAGTATATCCAATATATAATAAACCTCAATGGGGGATGGTCTGTGAAATAGATTTCAATCCAGCTTTACCACGAACTTTGCTGGGTGATCTTAGGACATGTACCAACCCCTATAAAAATCGCAGACCTTCCATACGTCCCAAAAACCTCTGCAACCGAGCGGCCACATCCGCGAACCCACTTTGGGATATCGCGCCTCAAAACGAAGCGGGATCTCCATGGGGATCCCGCCAGTTGATCGTTGATACATCGGAAAGATTCATCGACAGTCTGGTTCCCCAAAATTGAAAGGAATTCTAATTGAAGCAATGATGGTTAATAATAATGGTTAATAATGGTTAATGATGGTTAATAATGGTCAATAATAAATACCTGGTTGGTGGTTGACCTACCCTTGACCTACTTCTCGGAACAATCATGGAGTGAGTTCGTCAGTTGGGATGATGACATTCCCAACTGAATGGAATAAAATTCATGTTCCAAACCACCAAATGCATATTTAATCCGTTCCGATGCATTCATTCACGACCAACTTAAGCATGTTCAAGCATTTGTCCATTTCTAGGTGGCGCTCTGTCTGGCATGCGTTCATCAATGCGGCGTTTCATGTGATTTCTATTCGTTGTGATTCAACCAGCTTGCTGCGACCGAAACGGAATCGACATCCATGAGATCCATTCATACATTCCATTCACTTCCCTTTCACATCCCATTAAATATCCCATTACTTATCCCATTACTTATCCCATTCATTCATATCCCATTACTTATTCCATTAAAAATCCCATCCATGAATTGCCGGTGAATTTCCAAAGGATGTGGCTCTTAACCATCTGACATCCTCCTACGTTGCTTCCCCACTTTCGAGCCCAAGCAAACGTCCTTTTGGTTCGGGAATGCGCTGAACATTGGACACACCATGTTTTTTCACCACTACGAATTTGGGCATCCAACCAGTAATAAATTTGGGTACTCAAGGATAATAATGGATAATACTAATACATATATATATATATGTATTATTATATAATATATGTATATATATATTATTATATAATACATATATATATATATATATATTATTATAATATATATATATATATATTATTATATAATACATATATATATTATTATATAATATATATAATTATATATATATGGCACCCTAAAAAAAGAGATCGAAAAGATTCGAAAAGTGTGCAACCAGGATGGTAGTTTGATCAATGTTTCCCCCATATGTTCTACCGGTTTCCGGCTGGCATCCACCTTTGGGGGTTGATTCAAGATGTCTCTACCTTAGCGAACCTGGAACCTGGAAGGTGACTTTTGGAGCTGGAATCTCCATCGTTGCGGAACAAAAATCATAGACCGGTTCTTTTTTGCTCCAGTTGAACTGGCAAAACCTTGGAGGGGTCAACATTCTTCAACAATCATCCAATGTTTGAAAAAAAACAACGGTGCTGTACAAAATTTGAAGAACAGGACATCTGGGTTTCCGGCTGTGGTGCCGCCGTGATTGCTAAGAAAAGAGATTGGAAAAGAGTGTTGGAATGCAAAGCAAAAACATATGATCCGATCATATTGCAATTGGGTGATTAAGAAAGAAACATGGAGAAACAACAGATGTCATTAACCATCATTAACCATGAAGATTATTAACCATTATTAACCATTATTAACCATTAACCATCATGGTGTTGGCTCCCTATGCCATGAGATGACGATTATTTTTCGACCTCGGATCCCTCGGATCGGGCACCTGCACGGAAAAAATGTAGTAGGTGAACGGAAGCAAATTGTACAGTTCATGCTCGATAAAACCTGAGGCCAAAAAAGACCAAGGCTGCACAATACGGACAAGAATGGGAAGAGATTATAAGAGACTCATCCAGGTTTTGGTGAAAATCACCTGGGAATTGCATGGTCCTTAAAATGAGACCTCTGTGGATTTGTCATGAAACGTGGCGTGCCAAGTCAATGGCCCAGGTTGAACTGGGTGAACTGGGGATTTCCATGGATTTCCCACATCCAGCAATCTGGTTCCCAGTATTTCTTCAACACGGGTAATTGTAAATAGTGAAGAATGTTACATCTAAATAACCCATAGGATCCATGTATTAGCATTTGGGGTATATTAATGGTAAAATATGGTAAATGTTACCATATATAGCATACATGGATCCTATGGGAAATAAATTCTCTCTCATTTACTGTAAACAATTGATGTTCAATGTACCCTCTGGTAGTTTAACCGTCTGCGAAGGCTAGTTCAATCATCGAACTATTGCCGGGCTATGTCAATTCAAAGCAAACCATTGAAGTACGGCAGGGTATGTTTATTTCATTTTATTTCTATACCCTTGGGCAATCAAACATGGCATTTGGAAATCCCCTAAAAAAGTGAAGGTTTTGTTCGCTAACATCATTTTTCAATGGGGGACTTTCCATGCCATGTTTCCCAAAGGACCCCTTTGGGATGCATCAGGTGCAAAAATTGAGCACGGAACTTCGAACCCAAAACAACGCGATCCTAAACTTCACTTCCCTAAATTTGCCATCAACCAACTCGCGCGCCATTTTGGTCAAGCCAAACCCATGTTGTTCCCTGTTTGGTTGAAATGTTCATCTTTTGCATCACCAAACTACCCAAATGGGCCAACTTGCGAAATTGATCTGTATTTTTTTACAGAACGGGTCCTCCTGGGAGAGTAGTTTTCACATGATTTAAGATGATATTTTAAGAGGTTTTACTGAGCGCTTTGAAGGCACGTTTACACAACAATTTGTCCAGAGCGTTCGAAATCATATATCAGTATATATCCCAATCAAAGCGATTAAAATCAGATACAACCCAAGAATTGACAAAACCTTGGACAGACCAAAAAAACACAAAATATTTCCAGGCTCTTTGGAGGGGGACGACACCCAAAAAACAAAAAATGGAACAACCAAACAAAATGCGGCAAGAGGCCCCAAACAATGTGGGGGGAGTAAAAGGATAATGAGTTAAAATGCTGATGATGATGTTAATATTGATGATGATGTTGATAAGGATGGTGTGAATATAATGCACCATCTGGGACAGAGGTGCATGTTAACAATCGTGTCAGCGCTTCAGATCCAAAATCTCAGCCGCTTAGGCTTAAATTCATGAAGCATATGCCGTTTGGTGCTCAACACCAATTGAAATGATTTTCTTGATCAAAAACGCCAAAGCACAGTTGATTTTTGGTGCAGAACACACGAAATTTTCTCCTGAGAAAGAGTATTGATTTTTTGGACAGTGATAAGCCAAGTTTTGCACAATTCCTGCCGGAATTGTGAATCCAAAGGTGCAGTGCAAAGAGTGAGGATCTCATTCCATAGAGATTTAGTTTGATAATGTCTGTGCATCTTTGATGCATCCGTCGGTAGACATAAACTTAGTGCAGCAGATGTCACGAGAGCTTGAACTAAATTTCTTGGGAGTGCGTGCTCCACTGCGACAGTCAGAAATATTTTCAGATGGGAAAGCTGCTCACAACTGAGAACAGTTGTGGAAAATGTGAGAGAAACCGATTCCAACACTCTAGACTTTATGCCATTTGCCTGTCTTCAGAAGCCATCGGCAACCACATGTAACTACAAGCATCCGAGCATTGACCTATAGTGCTTAGCGCAGTGCGATTTATTTGGATTGTGCCCGTGCACTCAGTTCAGAGAGTCTCGCAGTTGTGATCTCGGATTTAATTTGCGAAGCCATAATCAGTTGCACATATTTCTCCGTTTTTTTTGGTTTTGTGCAATCTTCACATTTGGTGGAACCAAATGTTTGCTTGAATGTTCTGAACTGCAGAAAGAGCCACTTGAGAAGTGGTGGAAACGTAGTGATAGCAGGAAAGTAGACAAGCCAAGTGTCTGAGCGAATGACCATCTCAGCCAAGAACAGTGAGACATAGTTTCAGAATTTGTCACTTAGATCCACTTTAAATTTGGACTGATTTGCAAATTTCGTTCACTGCTGTTCACTCATTGTTTTGCATGTGACACAGAAGAAGTTGCTTGACACCGACTTTTGCACCATAGAAGGTGCTAATTAGGTCAACGTTTGGGTCGACAAGAATTTCCAAGTGAGTAGGCTGTGAGAGAACAGAACTGAAGGACTTGGATCTAACCCAAACTGATGCAAAGAAAACAGTTTTTCATCCTGCCAAAGGCTGGATGTGCTGTCCATGGAATAATGAATTCCATCCCGGAATCTGGCTCAAGGCCACACCGCGATTATGGAAAAGATCAGAACAGAGACTTCACTGGGAGTGACATCATAAGAACTCACATTTTAAGATCTTGAAAGGTATCTGGTTGACAACCTACTGTTTATCCCCTGGGGCTGTTAAATTCCGCATGGTAGCGGAGCACGTGGTGCTCAGAAAGTAGTTGATCCAGTTTTCAGTGGGGACAACGCCCCCAATAGGGACAACATAGAATTACAACCAGTTTTTCCGGTGTGCAGCCATGGCCTCTGGAAGGGAGCGGTCTCGTGAACTTGATGACCGTGGGAGATCGCGTCAAAGGATCGAAAGTGGTCGCCCAATGATGGTCTCTGAGCGTCACAGATCGTTGCCTGTTCCGTCCCTTGGATCCATGCAGCCAGATGCCAAAACTCTTGCGCTTGAGAAGCAGGTTCATGAACTCCAAGCGAACTTAGTGAATATGGGGAAGAATCTGGAGACTGTGGTTGAGCAGATGAAGGGACAACAGTCAGCCCTTCTTGCTGCCAGCAAAGCGTTTCAAAGTCAACAGGTTCAATTGAATTCCTTGCAAAGTGCTGCGCAGAATGCAGCAGCACAAATCCCTGCAGGTAGCAACACGCCTGTTGATCCGACTTCGCACGCCACAGATTCCAGGAAGATCGAGAGTTTGTCCAGCCCATTCTCTTCGCCTCTTGGCGGAGGACTTGGTTTTGGTGACTTGTCGAGTGCCCCAACAGCCACTAATCCAGCTGTGCGCATTCCAGGTGTGGAGAGCAGTCAGGCCCGGGTCATGAATCAAGCTGGCTCGGAGACAGTGGGAGCTTCGGTCGGACTTGATGCATTGGCCAAGTCAGATCGATGGCTGCCCGCCATGCCTTCAGTGGATTCATCGAAATGGCGCACACGCTTGGATGAAATTTTGGGCATCGAATCATTTGTAGAAAACCTAGTAAGTTGGGTTGGCCTGATCAATCATGAATTTGCCCATGAAATTCGTTTTTCAGCCAGTTGTCTTGATGCGATTCCCAACCACCAGCTGAGCACAGCGCAGCTTGCACGTGGAGCCCGTCTACTTGGTATGTTGCGGCAGATTTTTGGTCAGACGGCCAAAGCAAGAATAATTCTGTTGGCATATCAGGAAAAGCCCGGACCAAAGAATGGCTTCGAAGCACTTCGGCTTATCGTGGCAGAGTACATGCTGAAATCAAGACAGGAAATTTTGCATTTTCGTAGTGCTTTAGTGAATCGTACTTTCAAAGCAGCCAGCATCACTGAGCTGATCCAAAATCTTGACTATGAAGAGAGCCGTTATCAGAAATTGCTCGCAATGTTGCCTACTCATTTGAGTCGGGATGGACTGTTGATTCAATCCTCGGACTTTAGCATGATCCTCTTTCGTAGCCTAACTGGTTCAGCTCGTGACTATGTGATGCTTCATTCCAAAACCGATGAGTATGTAGACTTGAAAGCCGCAGCTTTGAGGTATGAATCCAGTTCCAGAATTTGGACAGAGATTTCTGGAAACACCAATTCGCACTACATGCACAGTGCTTTGGATGGTGGGAAAAAGGGAAAAGGAAAAGGGAAAGGCAAGAAGGGAAAGGAGAACTCAAGCAGCAGGAGCGGTTCAGCAGGAAAGGACGAGAATGAGAAAGAAAAGAATGATACTTGCTTCCGTTGTGGTCGCAAAGGTCATTACAAGACAAATTGTCATGCCAAGAAAGATTCCAATGGGAAGCCGCTGGACATGAGTACTGCTGCCAAGAATAGCAAGAGATCAGATTCCAAGGAGAAAAAGGGGCCAGAGAACAACAGTGGTGGAAAGGGCAAAGGCAGTGGTCAGGGAAAGAAAGGTACCGGAAAAGGCAAGATCAATGAACTTGTGGAGCAGCACAAGGAAGGCGAGAATCCGCCTGAAGGTGATGGGACTGGATCCAGTTCTACGGACCATCAGCCACCAATGAAGTCTTTCATTGGCCAGTGGTACCAACAGAAGGTGTTGAACTTTGAAAAGTCCCTTGACCATTTGCAGAAGCAGAGCAAGAACGTCTCGTTTGACTCTGACACTTTGTCGGCATGCAGCGTTGAGCATTGTTGTTGCAGCGTTTTTCCTTCATGTGCTGATCAAAGTTTTCCTGACTCAGAGTTTTCAAGCCACTTGCAAACAGACAATCTGTTTTTCATGCCTTTTTTATGCCCAATGAGTAATTCCAATGAAACAAGATGTTTGCAGCAAGCCTCGGATAGCCATCGTGATGCTGATTGGTGGCTCATTGACTCAGGAGCCAGCGCCTCTGTTGTGAGCGCACGATTTGTAGATCGATACCGAATTGTCAAGTCCGTGAGTTTGAAACCAAATTCGGGACCGGGATTTTCCACAGCATCAGGCGAAGTGATCTTTCCAACTTCTCTTGTTTGTCTACGAGTGTTTTTCACCATGGTCGCAACCAATGATCCGTCCAAAACTTTCTTGAAAGAATGCTGGATTTCGGCGTTTGTTGCAGATGCTCCAAATAATGTCCTCTCAGTGGGGAATTTGCTTCGAAAAGGATGGAGTCTTGGTAGTGACGGCGGTGAGGTGTCCGTGCA